GAAAAAGCTAAGTTTTTTAAACATTTGTCTGAACAGTTACTTTCCTATTCTTTTCAGTATTGAAAAGTACTTTGGGATTAGAATGGGGTAATAATCCCACAGTTGGACAGATCTACTGATATAAGAACTAAAGAAACAGAAGGGAAACTGCCCCAAACCATTTTTGACCTCACTGATATTTTAGGTTTGATTGCTATAAGGAGATGTAAAAAGACTGGTGCAAGATTATACTTTATTTTCAAAGAGACATAAATCTTTTTCTAGAATTTATATGATATGGATTACAAAAAAATTGCTCTACAAAACAACTATAGTGAATATTCTTCCAAAATCTTTTTTCTGATCATAACTCACTTTAAATTTGGACCCAGTCTTTTAAATTGAGATTAAATGAGTCTAGTTTTGCAGAGATCGCAATTTGTTAAAGATTGCAAACAACTATTCCAAGATTATTTTAATAATATTCTAGGCAAGGAAATTAACTTGACAACAATTTAGGATGATTGTAAACCTGTGATACGAGGATATTACATACAATATAATACATTAAGAAAATGGATGGAAAAATCCAAAAATAGTTAGATGAAATCAAATTGAAGAAAGAAAACTTCAAAAATTGCTAGATCTTAACGTTCTTAACCAATTAAAATTATCGCAATCAGGATAGATAAAAAAATTAAAAAATCAGACTTTTTAAAACATTTTTTTTATTTTTATCAAATTTATTTTAATAAAATGTTTTTTGGAGTATAAATTTATCTAAAGATAGTTTTCTATTTAAGATACATTAATAATTTAGTTTATTCAGCATGAAATGGAACTTAGTTATATAGCATGAGGCTGTATGTTTTGCAATATTGGGAGTGTTGGCCAGTCAAAGCATGTCAGAAGAGAAGCTGCTGCAAGACAGACAGTTGCTCTTTAAAATATATGATTTAAATCAATTTGATTTAAATCAAATGCACCCTGATAGCAGCAAAAAAATTGTTGACTGCTTCAGATACAATACCACCACTTTTTTGAAAATAAATCAGGGGGATGGCTGGTGAAAAAATTAAGAAACCATACAGAAAAGATGATAATTAAGCTTGAAGAACGGAATAAAACTTACATGGATAACAAAAATATTCAAAGACTCTTTCAGAACTAGTATACTAATTTATGTAAGAAACATGAAGTTACATTAAAACGTATTGATGTTTACATTTTAACTGCAAATCTATTGGAAAATTACAAGCAAAATTTGAACAGTCTAATAACAACTTTGGAAATAGCAGCAATTAACAGCTAATTTAGGTAAAGCACTGAGATTGGATGGTTTATCAAGTGGTTTCTATAAAACATTTGAAGACCAATTACTTATTCCAATGAAAGATTTAATGAACTCTATTCTACAAACAAATTCTATGTCTGATTCATGGGAAAATGCCTACATTTCTTTGATACCGAAGTATGGACTTCTGTGAAAAAGTACAGATCAATTTCTCTTAACTATGATTATAAACTGTTTACATCCATATTATCTGAAAGATTTTAAAAAGTTTTTTGAGATTACAAACATGATTATATACATGAAGTAGTTTTCTATCCAGAAGCCAATTAAAAGACAATGTGAGAGTAATCTTCCTTTAACTGAACATTTACAACATTATAGTGACTAACAGGTTGCCTGTTTTAATCTTCTAATCTAATCTTCTTAGATGGAGAAAAAGCTCTGATAATTTGAATTGGAACTTTATATTTAAAGTAGTCAAAAAGATGGACTTTGGATTGGGTTTTTTTTAAAGGATTGAAGTCCATTTAAAAACTCCAATAACCATGGATTATGATGGAGATTTGACAAAACCATGTGAAATCCGGAAAGAACAAGACGGGGGTATCTTTTATCCCCCTTATTATTTATCCTCGTACTGGAACTGCTAAACAGGGACATTAGATAAGATGACAGAGTAAAAGGATTACAAAGTAAAGCACATAAGTATAAACTTTGTGCTTTTGCTGATGACTTGGTTTTGATTTTGCAAGATTTGTTAGACATTGAATATGTTATAAGGAAGATTAAAATATTTGGAGAAATGGCAGGTTTAAAAATAAATAAATTAAAGATAATATTGACTAAGAATATAAAAGTGAAAGAGCAAAGGAAATGGAATTTAAAATTGGATTAAACTAATGAAACAGGTAAAGTATTTGAGGATGATTCTCATTAATGTAAATTCTAATTCAAAAGATATAGATCTGAGTGAAGGATTTATAAAATGTTATTTAAGATAAATCTGGAAGACTAATTTTGTATGGTAAAATGGGCGAAAAACTTTGGCTACAATATAATGCTAGACTGATGGGCGAATATATGAACTAATGGTTTAAAATTTACTTTGAATTGCAGTTTTTTTAAAAAAATAAGATGATGTACCGTTAGTATTTGAGCCCCTGGACTCAATATGTATAGAGAGATTTCCAACAACTTTTGGAAATGCAACCAAAATCCAGGCACATTCTATTTATGTGGTGGTCTTGGAAATATGCTAAATCATTCTGTATAAACATAATATTGATAATGCAGAAAATATTTAGAATACAAATATTAATGAAACCTGAAGCTTTTCATCTAGGTATTATGCATAAAACAATTGAAAAAGAGTTTGGAATGTTATTTCTTTTCAGAGGGACACCAACTGTTGAAGAGTGGGATTGATTGAATTAGCACAGATGGCAAAATTAACTGTTCTGATTAGAGACAACAGATGAGACAAATTTATAAGAGACTGGAAGCCATTTGTGGATTTTCTACGGGTTAAATACAATGACAGATGGTTAACAGAAGGATTTGAAGATTAGCTTTTAACTTTGGGGTAACCTGTTGACTATTGATGTTGGGTCAATTTGATTATTAGATAGATTTTCATATTAGGGATATTTGTTTATGTAATAGCATTTTTTGTTAAACACAATGGAAATGTTTATAAGTATTTGTAGATTCATTGTATAAGGGGAAGAGAATATATTAGACTTTTTGTATCTTTCAGCATTCAGCTGGGGTGGATTTTTTATGTTTAATGTAGATGGATTTGATATTTGGGCTATTTTTCTTTTTTGCACCCAAGTTTTTTTTCTTTTTGTTGCTTGTACCGGACGTTTGTTAGTTTGTTTCTTTTTTCCTTTGCTTTGTATTTTATATTTGATGATAAAATAACATTTTTTTAAAAAAGAAGTAGCTTCTGATAAAAATAAGCATTGCAGCAAATTATATTCTACTTCAGTGTTAAATTTGAAGTAAATAAGAAAAAATCTCAGTGTTAAAAAAAGGCTGGTATAGGTGATACATGTACAAAAAACTGGATAGTTTTAGCAAACTACAATTTGAAAGTATGAACATTGTGCATGTTGGCCCAACTATGCTGCTCTTCATGAAATCATAAAATTGAGAAAAATGGGTAAAGGTAGGTTAAAACTATTATTGATATTAAGAGGGGATTATGGTGGGTAAATTATAATATCCTTATAAATAAATTATAGCTCATCTAAAAATTAGGTAAATCATCCACATGTTAAATACACACAATTTACACAGGAGCTTTAAATTATTAGCAAGCTACTTCTTTTACCCATAATTTGAGCTGTGTTTACAGACAAAATTCACAGAAAAACATCTCCACATAATATTTTCCTTTTTTCTATTAAGTGATTCATTAACATAACACATGTATTACTATTTGATTTATTTTCACTCTTGTAATCAAAAGGCATTTGTTAGTATTGCCATATCTGTATCTGTATTTATTGATTACTTGTACAACTTAAGTGCAACATAAGCATAAATAGTAGACTGACAAAACCAATCATAAAGTTGTAAACAAAAACAAAAAAAACCTGTATGAGAAATGGAGTCAATTGGGAAACAAAGATTCTAGACTGCTAAGAGCTCTCTAGGGTAAAGGTTATCCACAAGTTAAAAAAAAAAGTAAGTTACTAACCTTTTAAGTGATGGAAAAGAGGGGTGAAGACCAGCAGGAGCTAACCTGAGCAATAGCAGCAAATATTTTTTTAACTAGTGCCCAGCCAAAGTTCATACCTTTCAATAATCCACCAAATGTTAATAATTTGTTATAGGTGTATTAGTAAGAAACAATTACTAAAACGTTTCAGAAAATTCGGTTTTAATAAGCTTAGGTGTTGGCCTTACATTAGAATGATTCAGTACCTCACTCAAACTTAATTCTGTGCACTACTCAACTATAGCATTTTAGGCAATCTATAGTATTATAATCCATATATTATACTCTATAGTACAGTAAAGAAAAGTCAGCCAGATCTTCCCTTACAACATGAGGCAGGCTCCTGCTTATACATACATACATATAATATACACATACATACATACAACATATGATGTAATACACTAAATTAAGATAAAGCCTGAACAAAATCACTATAATATGCAGCCACAGAATTTCAATGGGAAAGATATGAGGCATATATGGACCATATACCCCTTATAAAGATGGGATACGGAATATAGACTACCTCCAACCTTGGGCAACTTTCTGTCTTAATAGAGCGGCTAAAAGTCTATACATACGGCGACCGAACTAGATATTGCCTTCTCCAGGTCAAAAATTGGCAGCAGTTAAGAACTCACTGACAAAAAGGACTATTATTATATATAGAGAGAAGACTGAAGTGACGTACTGAACGCTTCCTTGAAAGCCAGGAGTGAGTTAGTAGATAATAGTTAAACTTTTGGGTTTAATTATTACTACTTACTCGTTTCGGGGGGGGGGGGGGGGGGTCCCAACTTGTTTTTTTTTCCACATCTGTCCAGAAACGGCGTATCTTTAGCTGCACTTCCAGGGGTCTTTTTTGGGCGGGGGGGGGCAAAATGAACGCTCAAGGGGCCGTTTTGGGACTCCCTATACACGGCAATTGTAAAACCACCGCCTTCCTGAAGAGAGCTGGAACGGTGCCCGAAGGAGAAGAGGAGATTTTGAGCTTCTCACCCGCACAGCCGCCGAATAAAGCCGCGGAGCAAATAAAGTCCGCGACCCAAACCGAGCGAACACAGCCATCTTTCCCTCAGCAGCTGCGCTTCGGAAACGCCTCCAAGCTCCTCGGTCTAAAAGACCCCGGGCATGAGACCGGGGGGCGGGGCTTCGTAGGAAGCCCCACCCTCCCCGCACGCCCATCTTTTGCGGAGAACAGCAAGTCACGCCCTTCCCGCAAGGCAAAGGTGCTCCCACAGAAGCTAATCCTTCGCTTAACTTTGACTGCAGATTTACCGCCGCGCTGAGCCAAGTCCCCGCCTATCGTCGAGAGATATTTTGTAAAACTTCGCGTGCAGATTCGCCTTCTCAGCACTGAGATAAAGGCCGGTTTACAATGGTTAAAGTATTTAAACAGCAAAATCGATTAAAAAACCCAGCCCGGAATAAACTAACCCCAAAATCAATACATATAAAAATAGTAAAATAATAAACACAAAATAATAATAAAGTAACCAAAAAATAATAATAAGCTTCCTCGAGTCTACTTCGACTCCTGATTCCTACAAAGCAAGGGTCTTCAAACTTGCCAAGTTTAAGACTTGTGGACTTCAACTCCCAGAATTCCTGTGCTAACAAGACTGGAGGAGGAATTCTGGGAGTTGAAGTCCACAAGACACAAGCTGTCAAGTTTGAAGACATCGGCGTAGGAGTTAACTTTTTCACCGCTCGCCTTTCTTTCCGGGAAAACCTTTTTTTAACCAATGACGAGTCACGTTCCTGGCACGGTGAGAAACCTTTCCCTCTCGCTGCCCGTAGAGGGCGCTAATCGCTCTTTCCGGGTTTCTCCAACTCAGAGATGAACTGCGCGCAGGCGCACTCTTCTGCCTCCTGGGCTGAAGAGGTGGGGCCCCTTATCTTGACTCGGGGAAGTGGCACCCTCTATCCTTCTCTGGGGCTAAGATGTGGAAACTGTGCCCGTCCGATGAGGCCGCAGGAGGTAAGTAAGAACTGAAGCGGGTTGTGGGGAGGGAAAGGTAGGGTTGCAACACTCCGGACCATCCTCGCGTGGCAGGACAAGAGAGAGTGTGGTGAGTGCTTTTGGTGCCATTTAATGGGTCAGCCAAGACTTTTGCGAGTCGGATCGAGAAATAATCTAGATCTAATGGTCACTCAGAAGTGGAGAGTATGATATAGAGGGCCTTACATTGTTGGAGTAGTTAGCCAAGCAAGAAATTTCAATTTAAATTGTGCGACATTGGATTATGATTCATTCCCCAGTGAAATAACTATAAGCATTATATGGCAGTGCAAAGTAAACTTTCAGTGATTGCCACTTTGAAGATAGGAACAGAGAATTTGGGGCACATGAAATGTATCCCCACTGATATTACTATTACTAGATTTGTCTTTTATGTATTGGTTAATGTTGAGTATGACATTTCCTAAAATCTGTCCTGTAATCCATCCATTACTTTTAAGAGAAATAGGCTGAGCTTGCAGATAGTGCTAGGCTCAAGTATGGTTGCTAGGCAGCAGCATCTACATGCTTGACCGGCAAATATCCTTGATAGAGCCTTAGTGACGGCTTCTGAAGTTGTGGTGGTCATCAAGGTCAGCTCTATCCATTTAGAAAAAGAATCAACCATCACCAGGAATGTACGCCCATGAAAGGGGCCAGCCAGATCAATTTGCACCCGGGATCAAGGGGTCCCAGAATCTTCCCACCTGCCTGGAGTGGATGTGGGTGGAGCAGGTCTGGTAACTTGTCATGGCTGACAAGCATTCACCCAACTTGTAATCTGAGCATCCATGCCCGGCCACCATACATAATTGTGAGCTAGGGCTTTCATTCTGACAATGCTGGGATGCCCTTCATGCAGGACCTTTAAAACTGAGGCTTGCAATTTGGAAGGGATAACTACCCTAGTTCCCCAAAGTAAACAGCCTTGCAAAGAAGACAGTTCTTGCTGGCGAGTTTTGAAAGGCACAAATTCAGGGGCATAAGGAATTGCAGGCCACCCTCTTCCCACCCAGTCAAGGACTTGGGCGATTACCTTGGCCCTAGGTACCTGGCAGAGTGGGCAGCGATATCAAGGGTGGTGATGGGAAGTTTGAGATTGTTGATCAGGAACACAGCATTAGTTGGTGCAGGATCCTCCATAGGAACAGGCAGGGGGCAGCGACTAAGAGCATCAGCGTGGCACAGACTCTTGCCAGCTCGATGAACCAGTGTATAGGAATAGGCAGCCAGAAATAAAATCCACCTGGTCATCCTTGGAGCCAAAATCTGAGGAGTTTGTCTATCGCCTGACAGAAGGCCTAACAGAGGCTTGTGATCTGTAACCAACTCGAAATAGTGTCCATATAGAAACTCATGGAATTTTTTTGACAGAAGCAACTTCAGCCAAAGCCTCCTTGTCAATTTGGCTGTAGTTGCGCTTAGCGGGGGTGGGGTGGGGGGGAAGTTCTGGAGAAAAAGGCAGTGGGTGCCTCAGAACCATTAGGCAGTCTATGACTTAAAACAGCACCTATGCCAAAAGGAGAAGCATTTGCTACTAAAACTAAAGGTAAATGCTCATTAAATTGGATCAGAACAGCATCGGATGTGAGCAATGATTTGACTGCATTGAAAGAATGGGCTTCCTTAGGTCCCCAGTGCCAGGGGAATTGCTTATTCAAGAGTCTGTGCAGAGGCTTTGCAGCGGAAGCTTTATGTGGCAAAAATGAAGCATAAAGGTTAAGAAGTCCTAAAAAGGCCTGGAGCTCAGTTTTGTTAGTTTGTGTGGGTGCCTCTTGAATAGCCCTTACTTTGGATTCGATTGGGTGAATACCAGAAGCATCAATTCTGTATCCCCAAAATTCTACCTGTGGGGTGGCAATAGTGCACTTCTCTTTTTTTAACTTAAGAATGCTTCCTGAAACGATCGAGGACTCCTCTGACTATTTGCAGTAATCAAGACTTGTCAGGGGCAGATATTAAAATGTCGTCAAAATATGGAATTACACCTGGTAATCCTTGAAGTCTTTCCATTAAAGATTGGAAAATCCCTAGGGCCACACTTACGCCAAATTGGAGGCGCCTACATTTAAAAGCACCCCTGTGCGTTACAATAGTTTGTAGTTCAGCGGCTGTGTCATCAACAGGGAACTGTTGATAGGCCTGTGACATGTCTAATTTCGCAAAAATGGTTCCTGGCTCAAAAGAATGTAATAGGGTGCTGGATAACGGACTGGATAAGCACTGATTTGTAAATATTTATTCAATGACATCTTGTAATCTGCGCAGATTCTTACGCTACCATCTTTCTTCAGGGATGTCACTATTGGGGTTTCCCATTTTCCCTGTTTAATTAATTTGTCAAGCTCCATGTCTAATTTGGGGCAGATTGCAAAAGGTACCCTTTGAGATTTTAAATGGATTGGTACTGCCTGAGGGTCCAAGTTGAAAGATATTGGGGTTCCTGAATAACAGCCCAGACCCTCGCTGAACACATCAGTATAGTCATTAAACAAGGTGTCCACTTCAGCATTTGTAATAGAATGGATTCCGCTTATATGGAGGCCAAGGGCAGGGAATCAGTCTAACCCCAACAGGCTAGGGAGGGCACCATCCACTACCACTAAAGGCAAGTGACCTTTAAAATTTTGAAATTGAACAAAAAAACTTGCCTTTTCCGATGACTGGGATGGTTCTGCCTTGGTAGTCACGTAGGGTTAACTGTCAGCTGTGAAGCTTCTTCTTAGCCATTCTGGGAAGTAGTTTGTTTCAAGGTGCTCCATGAGATGATGGATAGTGCTGAGCCTGTGTCAACCTCCATCCTGCAAGGTTTCCCTTCTATAGAAACAAAAACACTGATTTTGTTAGAGCCTTTGTTAGTCAGCTTGGCTTGATAGCAGGTAAAACAGTCTTCAACTTGTTTTTGGAAATGTTGGGTTGCCTGAGGCTTTTGGGCAAAAGTCTTTCCTGCTTGACAGATCCTGGCTAAATAACCCTTCCTCTGGCATTTTAGACAAATGGCATTCCTGAACTTGCAGGATGCCCTGTGGTGGTTTCCCCCACAGCTTAGACAAATGGGCTGAGGCCGTGGAGGTAGATTGGGGGTTGGCCTGTTCTCCCTTTGACTGGTTTTTTGCTGCCTGAGGCGATTTACATCATTAGCCTCTTCATAGCCTTCTTCTGTGGAGGCTTCATCGTAATGGATGGCTGAGCTGCTCTGGCTAAGTGGATTTCCCTGAATTTCTGCTGCTGAAAGTGCTGATAGTTCAGCAGCTTGAGACTCTTCAATTGCTAATTTAAGGGTTAAATCCCCTTTAGCCAATAGACGCCTTTGTAGCCTTAAATCCCTGACTCCCCAAACTAGTTGGTCTAATAACATGTTCTCCATATAGCCTCTAAACCCACAATGCAAGGCATCTGTTCATAGGGCAGCCATGTACCCACTAATAGTCTCTCCCTCAGCCTGAATCTGTCTCCTAAAAGCATGACGCCTGGCAATTCGGGATGGCTTAGGGGAATAGTGGTTGGAAAGAATTTCCTGCAAATCTTCCCAAAGAACAGTCTTAATTGAATGTGGAGCCAATAATGCAGTAGCAGTATCAAACACTGTGGCTCTGCAAAAACTTAAAAAGTAGGACTTTTTCCTATGGTTGGAAATGTCAGCGAGGTCTATGGCATCTAGGAAACAGTCCCATGTTTCTGCTGTCCGTCTTAAAGGTGGGAGGGTTTCGAAGGGGTTCGAAGTCATCTCAACTCAGCGGTACCGGATCTTCCGAGGAAATATGAAATTTGCACTCGCGAATAGTGACAGTAAGCTCTTAAAGTGACATACAGCTCGGTAGTGACTTCGGCTCTTTTTGTAGTGACTTCGGTCAACGATTCTTTGCCCGGTTGCCTCTTATATGTATCCCGCCCTCGTCACCAGTGTTGTAGAGCAGCGGAATAACCTGAGGTGAACATGGAGCGAACTTCAGCTTTTACTTTATTGTAACAATAAAGGGTTGCCGCGGCTGCCGTGCTAACAAGACAGCCAGCTGGCGGACAATAGCTGATGCCGTTTGAAAGCTCCCTTTTATAGCCGACTGTCAAATGGCATCAGCCAATAGGAACGGTCTGTGTTCCCGCTGGAAACACGGACCGGAGTGAAGACTTCAGCTCAGTCTTTTCCGAACACCACACTTGGCATATAGGTGAATTAGTCTGTTGTATACAGAACCAATTTGCTCTTCTTTTTGTATAAGTGGGGAAAGAAAGTAGGAAACTACCCTTAGCTCTGTACAGTAAATAAGTTAAGCCAAGCTTGACTCTGGTAACTTTATGGACAAGTCCATGCTTTGGGAAATAATATGGAAGTGATTTTTCACTAATGTCTGGGCTTGGTGGTGGGGATTTCCCAGTTTATCTTTCAACCCAGGGATCACCTACTGATCTTCCATCCAAGTACCAAGTAAATACTTATCATTTTCAGATCAGTCAGGTTCATTTAGGTGCTGCTGCCTTGCTGGGTGATCCAGTCAGTGAATGCTACCTGGCAGCTGCTTGCAGGGATACCTTCCATATCTACACCTGTGTTCTGGAATGTTCTCCCCTCTGAGATGTTTCCTATGTCATCTTTATCTCCATTTTTAAATGAATGTGTTACATTTGTTTTTAAGTTTTAAGATATATTTAATTAGGCACAGTTTATTATTGTATGTTTCAAAATGGCTTGGCATGGTAGAAAATAAACATTATATAAAACAATTTAGATACAACAGTTTCAAAAACTGAACCTTTCATTACAGTCTTGTTCCATGAGATCTCAAACTGTAGTTCATAAATAGATGCATATTCAGTGACACTCTAAAATTTGGCTTCCCTATTTATTTAGTTTCAGTCTTTTAGTAATTTCATATCGTGCATTCTTACAATGAATGGTTAATGTTTTTGTTGCTTATGACCATTCTTAAAACTAACATTTTTTCTTTAATTTCAGGACCGTTGTATCGGCTTCTAGTTGGTGTTGAGTATGTTGTTGGACGAAAGAATTGTGGAATTTTAATTCAGAATGATCAGTCAATCAGCCGAAGTCATGCAGTTCTTTCAGTTAAACATCCCCAAATGAATCTTGTAAGTATCACATTCATAAATATTCTGCCAACTGTCTCCTGGGCCACTATATAAAAGTATGTTTTTTTAAAAAAATTAACATTTGTTGACTTACAAATAGTATCAAATAGTATCAAATTCATCCTGATGGCATTATAGAAAATATACAAATTATGTAATTTGGATCTGAAACCAGTGACAGAAATTATGTAATTTGTGTCATTTAGGTAACAATATATGTCATTAGATAACAATATTCTAGCTTGTTGCAGATGAATATGATTTATTATACCTCTTCAGTCAAGCTGCGTTACTCAAAAGTTTTTTTTACTGAACCTCTTCGTATAAAACTGGACATAAAATATAAGCTTTCATATTGGCTTTATGATTATAAGTCTTTATTTTTAAATCAATTATCTTTTATTCCCGATGAACTGGTTGGTCAAAACAAATCCATTTCAAGCCAATATTTAATATCCTGGTTTGTTTGGCAAATACAGGTTGTCCTCAACTTAACAACAATTCATTTAGTGACAGTTCAAAGTTCAAAAAAGTGACTTATGACCATTTTTCATACTTACAATCATTGCAGCATTCTCATGGTCATGTGATCAAAATTCAGATGCTTAGCAACTGGTTCATATTTATGACAGTTGCAGTGTCTGGGAGTCATGTGATCAGCTTTTGTGCCCTGACAAGCAAAGTCAATGGGAAGCTAAATTCACTTAACAATCATGTTACTAATTTAACAACTGCAGTGATTCACTTAGCCACTATGGCATGAAAAGTCATAAAATGGGGCAAACTCACTTAACAAATGTGAGTTTGTTAGTAACATAAATTTTGGCCTCAATTGTCATAAGTTGAGGACTACCGGTACCATAACTATACCTAAGCATTCAGTTTAAGCACTACAATAATTTATTAATTGAAGGCAGGGCCGGATTGAGCCATTTTTAGCAGCTGAACATAGAGAACTCGAGCTAAGCCGTTAAAATAGTTTTTAGAGGTTCATCCAAACCATCCTTTTAGTTGATTATACTTAAATTTCAAATATATTCCTTAACTTTTATATATTAGAGATTAACACGGCTGCCAAGATAAGACCCCCTCTTATACCAGCAAAGAGAAAGAAATTTGATCCGGAATAATGTCAGGTTTCCAAGTGATGAAACCCATTCAAAAAGAAATAAGCAAAATCCATCTTCCAAAACAAATTTCTTTCTCTTTGCTGGTATAAGTGGGGAGGGTTTTGGACTCAGCACATTCTTAAGGTCAGAGGAGTAGTTAGATAGTGAGGATTGTTTTGGCTAGATGACTTTCCTTCCAGTGGGAACAGAAGCTGTCCCTGCCGAGACCTGGAGGTAGAGATTGAAGACATCAAGCAATGTTGATTTATTTCTATTGAGAAATGTGACTTTTGTGGGTTGTTTCCAATTTACAATATGTGGTATAATTCAGGTTTGTGTAAGATGCAGAATTACAACAGACTTTGCCAATTTGATGATTACCTAAATAAAAGAAATTTGTTTTAGAAGATGGATTTTGCTTATTTCTTTTTGAATGGGTTTCATCACTTGGAAACCCGACACTGTTAATACTAGAAGCAGATAAGATTAATTGTGCTTGCCTTATTTCTGATGTAAAGTATTGTACTGATTAATTGTTAAAGGAAAAAAGTGTTCCTATTCATCATCTACCTATTTTCAAGAAAAAAATATCCATTTTAGGTGAAGTAAAACTAAATTTTGATTAACTTGGATGATTTGCTTGTTTTTTTGTGTAATTTTTGTATTGTGTATTGTGTCATTTTCAAGTACTATTAAAGCAATTGAGATACTTGGGGTCCTTGGTGCTCTTTGAGCTTGGTTGTGTGGTTTTTTTTTCACACTGATAATGTTTCATAATTTGGAAATGAAATGTCTACAAGAAAAAAAACAAGCTCAAAGAATACCAAGGACTCCCCCACAAAAATAGTATTTTAATGACAATGAAATTGTAATATATATGTAGAACTTTTTTTTTCTTTCATTCAGTTGTGTTAAATTCTTGAAGACTGCCTGGACAAATTCCTGCAGTTTGGTTGGCAAGACTTTTGGAAGTGTTTTGTCAATGCCTTCTTCCTAGGGCTAACAAAAAATTACTGGCCCAAGATCACCCAGATGGCAGAACTAGAAGCGATTCTCCCAGTTTTTAGCCTGATGCCTTTAACCACTACACCAAACTGGCTCTTGTATGAAAACCAATAAATACAAACCACATTAATGTGTAGTTTGAAGTTTTAATGATGTAAGGATTTTTTAAAATAGGAGGGGGTATAGCTAGTACAGTGAATAGGCTTGCTGTCTTTGAACTTTAAATGCTGTGAGCTTTTTTGTATTTTCAGAGTCAATCTTCATCATTTCCTGAATTAAGTTTAAAAGACACTTCAAAATATGGTACCTTTGTTAATGGAGAAAAGCTACAGAATGGCAATACTGTAACATTAAATACTGGTGACAGAATCACTTTTGGAGTCTTTGAAAGCAAATACAGGTATGATAGATTTGTGCTAACCTTGAAACAGTTAAAGGGAAATGTATGCGTTTGCTGTGTATTTCACACATGATAGATTATGGTCATGGATGAAATAAATGTATAACACAAAATGTTGTTCATGACTTTGAAGCTTATAGAGGACTGAAATTAATTGATAAAAAGAAACATTCAGTATTCCAATTCATTTAACTTAGATAAAAAATTGTAACCCTACATAGTTTATCGTATTTTTCGGACTATAAAATGCACTTTTTCCACCCCTGAAGGTGGGTGGAAATGTCTGTGCATCTTATACAGTGAATATTGCTGAAGCCCTGCCCACCCACCGGCCCCTACCCTTTGGCCTCTGCCTCCCAGCAATTTGCTCCTTGTAGCAAAGAGCAAACAGCCTGGTCAGCTTCAGCACAGCCTGATTAGCGCAAGCAGCTGATTGTTGGTTGGATTGGCCTCCCGATGATCAGCTGTTTCAGGCTACAGGGATTACCTCCGCGTGCCCCATTTTTGGTCTCTGCACCCTGTTTTCAGCCTCCACACATCCCATTTTTCACCCGATCCGATCTCCCCTACCAGGAATAGGCCGAAAATGGGGCAAACGGAGGCCGAAAATGGGGTGTGTGGAGGCTGAAAATGGGATGTGGATGCTGAAAATGGGCTGTGTGGAGGCGGCAATAGGCTATGGCAATCCCTGCAGCCAGAAACAGCTGATCACCGGGAGCCAGATCCAACCAACAATCAGCTGCTTGTGCTTATCAGGCTGTGCTGAGGCTGAAAAAGGGTTTTGGCTGTTTGCTGCAAGAAAGCAAATTGCAGGGGGGCATAGTCAGAGGCAGATTTTTTTTTCTTGTTTTCCTCCAAAAGCTAGGTGTGCCTTATACTTTGGAGTGTCTTATACTCCAAAAAATATGAGTTAGAAGCATATGTACAGATTCAGCATATCTTATTGCCAAATAAGCGTTAAAGCTTTAGTTTAGTAGAAATTGTGTCTCAGTGAATTCAAGAAATCAATGAATTTGGCTGTTTTGAACAAGTTTACATTTGTCTCTAATCTTCCTTTTAAGGTTATATTATGGAGGAAGTGGAGACTTCCAACTGCAGACAGTCTTAGAGGAAGTATATTAGGATTGTCAAGCTCACACTGTCATGGCGTCATCACGTGACATATCGGGAGTTTTTTCCCCTTATTAAACTGGGTGGGCATGGGGCCAGCATGTGATGCATGTGGCAGCCAGGCCATGAGTTAGATATCCCTGAAATAAATGGCTTGGGCCTTTGGCAGTCAGGGTTCAAGCTGGGATACACCACATTATGTTGGTCACTGTTGAGGATGACTTATGGAGTGACCAGTATGGGGAGAGTGCAGCTCTGTTGATCCTTCTTGAGCTCTCAGCAGATTTCAACACTATTAATCCTAGTATCCTCTTGGAGTGTCTCCAAGGGATTGGAGTGGTTGGCACTGTCTTACAGTGGTTCTCCTCCTTTCTGAAGGGGTGATTTCAGCTTGTATTGAGGGAGGAGAAATCTGCCCTGAAACATCTATCTTGTGAGTGCTTCTATCTTCTATCCACTTCTTTTTAATATTAGGGGAGGTCATTTGCCAGCACAAAGTTAGATTTCAAGCTATACGTCACACCTCAAAGGCAACAGAGCCATAATTGAAGTGCTGGACAAGTGCCTAGAGAATGTCAGGGTTCGGTTGAGGAAGAGCATATTCCAATTGAATCCTTCAGAGGCAGAGTGACTTTAGGTTTGTGTACTTAACAGTTCCATGATTGACTCTGAAAGGTTTCTATTCCCTTGTTCAGAAATGGTCCACAATTTAGGAGTTCTCCTAGAACCGTGATGGCGAACCTATGGCACGCATGCCAGAGATGCCACACACAGCCCTCTGGGCATGCGAGCCGTTGCCCCAGCTCAGCCCCACGTGTGTGCGCGCCTCCTGCCAGCCAGCTAGTCTTTGATTCTCTTCTGCAGTTGTGTGGGGCGCCTGTGTGGGGAGCAGAACGCATATGTGGGGGATGCACACCTGTTGCATTTTGACAGTGCGCGCATTCCTGTTTTAATTATTGTGACTTATACATGTGTCTGCCCTGAAGAGCATTCAGAAACTACAGTTACATAGCATGTATCATCCTAGGCTATGATGGATGAATCTTGATATTCTTGGATTAGCCCACAGCTTTGGGAGCTGCGTTGATTATCACTTGACTTAAGTGTTCTATTTAAGCTATTGATTGTCACCTTTAAGGCCATATCTGATTCTGTATGTGGACCACCGTCTCCTTGTTTCATTTTCTTGTCCAATCACATGAAACAGGGTCAACTCCTTTAGGTCCTAAGACTCCCACTACTGTGCTAAGAAATGGTGAGCTGTTTGGCATTATTCATAATCATATTCTGTTTTATTGTATTTTGCAGAGTAGAATATGAACCACTGGTAGTGTGTTCTTCCTGCTTAGATGTTTTGCAGAAAAATATTTTAAATACAAATATTCTTCAGCTGGGTGGCCATGTAGTGAATGAGTGGAACGAAGACTGTACCCATCTTGTTATGGTTCTAGTTAAAGTTACTGTGAAGGTGAGTAACTAAATGGAAGCATCCCAGCAATGGGCACCGGAAGGATAGATGCGGGGAAATGTTTTATTTCCACTCTTACACAAGGTTTTTTAGGAAGTAAGTCCCATTAGTCCATTTGTTTACAGGAGTATAGGCTTGGATGTGTTTTAATACATTTACTTACTTACTTACTTACTTCCTTACCTACTTACAGTATATGGCTAGTAATACAGCAAGGAAAAGAAAAGGAATATAATATTTATGGCGACAGTACAGCTGTCATTCTTCCTTATTTAATAAATGATTTCTTTGGGTGAATAATATTAAGATATATTGATATTTCAATATTAAAAATATAATTAACAATATAAACCTTTCCAATGAAGAAATCATAGAGAAGGTCAGATTATATTGGATCAGCCAAGAGAAATGCACAGGGTATAAGGCAGTGAGTGATTCATACATATGTAGAAGTTGAAGTGATTGGGATAAGATCGTTAACAGAGTTGCACAGAAACATCTGGGGGGTAGGGAGTGTCAACATTTTCAATTAATTTCAACTAATAATTTCAATCAACTAGAGATATAACCAAGAACTATGTGTATTCTAATTCAGGGGTCGCCAACCTTTTGGACCTCCGGGACCACCAAACTCATAATTTTAAATCCCGCAGACCACTAATATGGATTTTGACTGATGACGTCTTGCTAACATTGATGGGAAAGTCGGTCCCATATTCCAGAGCTGCAGTAGTCACAGGACTGGCCCTTTAGTCATCCCAGAACAGCTGCTCCTCCACCCGGGTGCACCAGCCTGCCATGGACTGGAGGAGCTGCTTCGGGATGACCAAACGGCCAGTCCTCTGACTACTGCAGCTCTGGAATATGGGACTGACTTTCCCACCAATGTCAGCAAGCCACTCCGGGGTGGATTTCCCTCCCACACCATTGGTCTTATCTTCCAGTTCCAGCTCATGTGGCTCTACTCAAGGTAAGGTTTGCGCTTGGCCGAAAGGTGGGGGCCAGCAGGTTGGCAGGCCACGTGGGCAGCGCAGCCTTGTGTTCCCGTGCAGTCTGGATTAATTACGGGCCACCAAAATTTTCTCGCGGCCCATCAGTGGTCCCTGGCCCACCAGTTGGCGACCACTGTTCTAATTCGAATCATACTTGTTTGCATAAAAATGTTTTCCAGAATTTTTTTGGAAAATGTTCCAATTCAAATTTTTCCAGAAAACCCACATATTTAATAGTCACAACTGAAAGTATAGGTAGTCCTTGTTTAAACAACAGCCTAGTTTAGCAACTATTTGCTGTTATGATGTTGCAAAAAACCCTGTAAAGCAAAGAAACTCTGAACTAAGATCTTAAACCAGTGGCGATTCCAAGCAACGCTTTGTTTAATGACTGAGTTGCCAGTCTCAATTATGGTTGCTAAACAAAGACTACTTTATATTAATGGGAATCCTTTTGTAGAAGGATTAGTTGCTATATATTGTAAAAATAAGATACTGACTGGAAGAAATAATAAAACAATGCAAACTGTTGTACAGTGATTATAGAATTTTATTATAGGACTTCTGTTCCTTTTGTAAGGAAATCTCAGTTTGAAATAAAATCAGTGAATAAGTTTACAAACAGAATGGTTTGTACTAGGCTGAGGAACCTGAATTAAGATCCCAGAGACTACATGTTTTGTATCACTATGAATTATTATTATAATTTCCCACTTTTGTTGTAGACAATATGTGCGCTGATTTGTGGTCGACCAATTATGAAGCCGGAATATTTTGATGAATTAATCAAAGCCATTCAAGCAAAGCAACAGTTACCACTGCCTGAAAGGTAAAAAGTTCTAAGATATATCCCCATTTTTAAAAAGTGTTAATGTTTCATTTTATAATAATCTACCAATTAACAATTGCTGACGTTACATTCGCTTTCTAAACTACTGAAGTATGCCTTGATTAAATGTAATTATCCAAGGTACATTAATCATGTGCTATAAATGCTACTTCTATTATTATTTCATGAGAAAATACCTTGCGTTCTCCTTTTGTTTATTTATGGCCTTGTGCTACTGAATGGCATTCTTTCTGCAATTCAGTATCTAGGCAAGGAATAATAATGCATAAAAGTACTAATTTAAACAATAGGTGGATCAATAATGAGACAATGGTATCCAGCTCCATATGTATCCTAGTATCTTTTAAGGATTAAAAGTCCAACAAGCCCAGTTTCTTATATCAATGAAACTCTGGATTTGATAAACCTCAGATGATGAAAGTTCTACAAATCTAGGGTTAGCGAACGATATGATCTTAATGGTGATGGAAGATGAACTTATCACAGGTTTTTGTTTCTGGGTTTTGCCAAAGCAAAGAAATATTTCGATCTTGTAGACCCAATTTTAGTCTGGATTATCCTAATGAATGAATTAAATTGGGAGATAAGCAAGGACGACAGCAAGTTCTTACTTGTCTTGATTTTTAAGCAAGTTTTAATACCACTGAGAATTATATATTTTTGGACTGTCCTTAAATTTGAGGTAGACAACATAAGAATAGGGTGGATTTACTTCTATATTTCATTTTCATTCCAGAAAATACTTTTGTAAATTGAGGATTGACCAGTTGTCTGGCATACGTATGTTCTGCAGAGTTTCATCCTGATTTTAAAGAAACAGATTTAAAAAAAAAAAAAAAATCTCCAAAACAGACCACATCAATGAAAAAAGATAGGCTCTGCTCTCAATTTAGAACCTAAGTATATCCTTTGATGAACGTCCTCTTTTAATTGACATTATTGAAAGCAATATCCAGATCTACAGACATGTAATTTTAATCTATTATATCTGAAAGCACTACAAAATTCTTAGCGTGTAGGGTGTAAACATATCTCCAGGGGGCACAATAAAAATAGCTTTGAGTTGCCTGGATTGTATTTTAGTGTGTTCATACTAGCCTGCCCTATTACAGATTTCAAAATGTTACTAGGCTATTATACTCAATTCCAACAGAAAAAAAGGCTGAATATCATCTATTTATTAATAACAGTTCTTTCTATAACTCCCAGTCAGTACTTCATGGAAACAGAAAGATTCCTCATATTACATGCTATAATTGTCCACTGAGAAAGTAACAGTACCTGCAAAACAATTTGATTGATATTCTTGAATGTTGTGAGAAGTCAAAAGACACAGCTTGTACTATCATTCTCTTTCTGGGTGAAGGTTATTGAACAAAGGGTGCATAATGTTTGATGACTAAATATTATGCTTTCCTTCCTACAATCTCTTTTAAAGTGCTCTGAAAAAGACTGTTCTACTAGTAATTGAAATGGTCTGATCTGGAAAAGGACTGTTACAGTATAAACTACTTTTACAGTTAAAACTATGTTTCAAAGTTGGATCAATTAAACAGAATTATCCATTCGGATGAGAGAATGCTTCCAATGAGGTTGGAATGGCTGAAGATGGGTTCATGGGATTTAAAAGTTACAACATTTGACTTTGCAAACTTCCACTTATCAGGCAGCCTCAGATGACAGCATCTGGCTGATCTTGTCTGGACTTAAAAGCAAAATAGGATTAACCCTGGTTAGACTGGTATGGAAGATAAGCAGATAATAACAGGCTAGACTGGAAAATCAAAGAATGTCCTGGAAAAATGCAATGGCAAAACATTTTTGCATTGCTGCCAAGAGTAATCATCGGGAGTCTAGATCAATCATAGAACATGATTAACTATTCCACAGAAAGATGATCACAATTGTTTCTGTCTTAAATCTTTACAGGACTTCCATAAAATAGTCATCTATACCTATATTCTCCCATTTTTTCTTTATGAGGACCATTACATAATTAAAACATTTTTCCTGGCCATTACATAAACCACATTAGAAATATATATTTCCTTTGTCATTTGCACTCATTTCTTCTTAAAGGCTGGATACAACTCATCTTAATATAGAATTTAATTTGCAGTGTATATTACATTTATGATACAGGGCTATGTGAACTTCTGGGAGGCAACCAGGTCTTTTCAGTTATTATAAGAATATCATTGACTTAATTTCATCAGGTTGTTATAGACGTCTCTATGGTAATATCTTCAAGATAGTGTAAGCCTTAGAGATAGCTACACTAACAAAGACTTTAAATACTACTTTATAATTTTTTGTGTGGAGTAAATAATATTCTCTAAAATACAAATTTCAATATATATTAACCAATATATTATCAGCAGAAAAACATCTCTGAATTTAAACGTTACAGTTTGGTCAGATTTGATAATTAAAATTGAAATGAATATTATCACTACAGAGGAATTCATATTTAACATTTCAACATCACATACCTTTTTTGGATCCATCAACTTTTCCTCTGATAAATGGTATGCTGTGGTCAAATCAAATCCCTAATAGTATAACGATGAAGACATTGACTTCTAGTTCACCATTAGCCATAGAAAAATCCTGGATAATTTTTGAGACAATCACATTCTCCCAGTCTAACCTATCTCAGAATGTTTTAATTGGAGAAAAACTGAGCTCCTGGAGAAAAGTGGGATACAAAGTAGTCCTCATGTTATGACTGTAGTTGAGTTCGAAATTACCATCTTATGTTGTACCGGTGGTTAAATAGGTCACCACATGACTTTGCCTGATTTTTATGACCTTTTTAATGACGTAAATGAATCACCGCAGTCACCTCAAGTCACTCAGTGGTGAGATGGATGGCATACAAATTTAATAAATAATAAATATGCAAATATCATGGTGGTTATGCAAATCCATTGTATTCAATTGGTATTCTTTGCTGGGAACTGGAAGTAATCGGAGGATTACTTCATAACTGAGTCATAAGTAATCCTGGGAAGATTCATTGTAACTTGGAACAGTGACTAAATAACAGGTCATAAATCAAGGAATACTGTGAATCTAATAAATACTTTTGGATATACAAATACCTGATGGGGAGTAATAATCTTTGTGTTCATCCAAGGCTTGCTTTAAGAACGCGCCCAAGACAAAGGACGGTGCTAAATAAAATCTCAGTCTGGAATGTGATACATCCTTCTGAGATAGTAAAAAGAAAATGTGTTCTAAGGGAAAAGCTATTTCATTTTAAAGAAAATCTTTCTTTATAAATAAGTTATGAAATTTTATAAGAGTTTCCTTTGTTTTTAGATTTTTTCCAAAAGTTGATGAACCAAGTATTGAGAATGAAAATATAGATCTCATCAAATGTCCTAGAAGAAGAACTATTTTCAGAGGAAAAAAATTTATGTTTCTAACAGCAAAGCAGGTAAAAATTTCTGTTGCTAAATGAGACAATTGTTAAGTGAGATTTGTTCCACTTTACAACCTTTCTGGTCACACTTGTTAAATAAATCACTGCTGTTGTTAATTTAGTATTAAGTGATTATTAAGTCAATCTGGCTTCCCCATTGACTTTGCTTGTCAGAAAGTTGCAAACGGTGATAACATGACCCTGGGAACACTGCAGGGGTCATAAACATAAACCAGTTGCCAACCATCCAAATTTTGATCATGTGACCATAGGGCTGCTACACTCATTGTAAATGTGAAAACAATTGCAAGTCACTTTTTTTAGTGCCGTTGTAACTTCGATTGTTCACTAGATGAATAATCAGACATTGAGCACTTAACTATACTTAACATTTGTTTATTGCAACTTAGGAAGGCCTCTTTGTTGTTCTGTTTAATTTTTGAAATGACTGGTGTATTTATATAGATTTAAAAATTACACATTAATACCAGCTCAGTTCTTTAATTTAATTTCATTCTAGCATGCAAAATTGAGTTCAGCAATTAAGCTTGGAGGAGGAGAAGCAAGACTGTTGACTGACAAAACAGAAGCTGCTGCTGCTGCTTTAATAACATCTAACACTTGTGTCATTGAAGTAGGATCTACAAACTCCCAACCATCAGTTTCTACCTTGGACAAAAAATGGATTGATAATATCACAGCTGTCTTGCAAAGGTGTAGCTTACTGTTTATAATTTAAACAGATCTGCTGAGTCATCACCATTTTGCAATATGATGCAAAATTGAAAACATAAAGGAGATATTCATCTTACAGCATAGTTTATTGTGCAAGAAAGTACTATTTGAATTTGATTTAGAGTTTTTTTTTTATTATTTCATCACATAATTTGCTCCAAGGATTCTAGATTAACTTTTGCTGTACTTAGTAGGAATTCTGAAAGTTTTTGCTATGTAATCTACCATCAGTTGTAGAGTGAAATATATTTTTACAGAATAAAATTTTGGAATATTTTAAAATAAACTTTCAATATGACACATAGGCTTGACATTGTAAGGTTCCATGTAACATACCAAGGTTCCTGTAGCTTCCAAAACCTGAACATATGTATTCATTTACTATCAAGGCTTTGGATATAATTGTCCAATGTGAAATAGTAAAAAAAAAAACATAATTGGTTGATTAAAAGAAAAAACCATGGTGGCGCAATGGTTAGAATGTAGTCCTGCAGGACTAACTCATTGCTTACTCTAGGAGTTCAATTCTGATCCACTCAAGGTTGACTCAGCCTTCCATCCTTCCAAGGTCGGTAAAATGAGGACCCAGATTCATTGTGGGGGCTGACTCTAAACCACTTAGAGAAGGATGTAAAGCACTATGAAGCGGTATGTAAGTCTAAGTGCTATTGTTGTTAAGGGATTGACCAATTATAGGAAATCATGTTTAATTTTTTCAAGAGAATCCTTAGGTACTAAAAACTGGCACAGTTGTGGATTGTAGACTTAAAACTAAACATTTAAAAAAATGAATTGATTCCCTGTATTTTAAAGAGTAGGGAAAAGATCTAGCAACCTACTTGAATATTTTTGTGCTACCCTGGATTCTGTGTGGAAGTCTGTTTTTAAATGTTTTTCTGGATATTTTAGATGAATGATACTTTTTTGATAACACATTTTATTTCTGTTAGGAAGAATTATAGAACAATCTCAGAGGCAGAAATTGGTTTAGCAGTTATTTTTGCATCTACAGAAAAATACTGTAATCCTCAAATTTCACCCAGTGGAGGTAACAAAAGTACTTTTTTCCATGTTTTTTCTTTTCTTAAGTCTTTTGTTTAAGCAATTGATATTTAGTCAATAGCACTAGGATAACTGTTTACCTGTATTATTCAATTGCAGCTTGGTTTTATTTTTAAATAATGTATGAAAGTAATTTTCCTCCCCCCCCCCAAAAAAAATATATTGTCTTTTTCTCTTCTAATTTTTTTCATTAATTTACTCAACAAACTATGCCTAAGCAAACTATGCCTAGTCTAATTTATATAAACAATAATTGTGGATCCAATCTTTTCATACATTTGCATTTTATTTCTAGAATGTAATCAGAAAACCTTTTTGTTCTTTGTTTATGCATTGTGTAATCCTCTCCAATTACTTATGGGAACAGCACACTGAAATTCACTATATATAGCAAAAAGTGAGCTTTAAATTACCAAAACCCATCAGCATTGACTAACCTCAGAGAGAATTTCTGAAATAATTTCTAATTTCCTTCCATATAGATTTCATCTTTTTGTTACATCTTTTTGTTTAGCGTTAGATGAAACTTGAACTTTTTTCAAAGACTCAGGACGCCCAACAACAGTTATAATCTCAATACATTTAAGTCATTTGAGCAAAAAAGAGAAAAAAAGTTCATATATAACTTCCTTGTTATACAGTAAAAGTAATTATTTGCTTTTTTTTAATAAAAAAATTCAGAAGAGGGATAATGTTAAAAGTTGACGTTACAAAGAATTTTTTAATTAATAGTTTCCTAATAAAAGATGTTGATGTTGATGAATGAAGCCTATTAGCCCAAGATTTAATTCCAGCTCAGATATATTTATATAGCAGCAGCCACTCCTACTATTCATGTTATTGTACCAGTAATTCTCTAAGTTTCAATAGATACCTTGGATATCTAATCAAAGATAATTAATATATTTTATGAACAAGTGGTGCTTTGAATACAGACCTTCATGTGGAATGCTAGCAAATAACACTGTCATTGTAAATTTACATTCTGAAATTTATAATTTTCCTTTCTTTTTCCAAAATATGTTTGTCTTTCTCTCTCCTAAATTTTTTTTTCACAAAAAATGCAGAATTAAGTGTGTGCCTTTTGATTGGCAGCACTAATCAGTGCCCATCTTTTTAAACACCATTTAGTCCAATGCAAATTATCACATTTACTATGAGCCCATTATTTGCCTGTGTTTAAGGTCATAAAACCATGGACTAAATCATACCTGCATTATCTAAATACCTCCTGGTATTACTATTAACGGTTACATTGTACTGGTGCAGACATGAAGCTTGCTATGATTTGCAGTAATAATAGTGGACTTTATTATTGATGTTTTGATTTATGTTGGGAACGGCCATGAGGTTGTGGGTTGCAAATACCATAATTTGTTAGATTTATAATCTGCCTTTCCTTCAGGAACTCAAGGCAGCATTAAGACTAAGATACACTTCACATATAGAATGAAAACATCACTAGGAATAGTAGGAATAACATATTTAATATTTTTTACTTAATAACATGTTAGCCATAGATATTCTGTATTCTGTAGAGTGTAAGTATTGTAACATAATACTGTATATAAAAATAAACATAAAACACCAGAATTATATGAATTTAATTTACATAACTCTGATAAAATAGTTGTTCATTTTATCTTCATATCTAAATTGCAGATATAAAAACTGCTACTGTCCCTGAACAAAGTCAATCTCAGAGTGTAGCAGTGGAGGAAACAACAATGCCTTCCAGCCAAGAGGACATCAGTGCATTTGTAGATGATACAGAAATGGATGAAGTGATGGACACATTACTGTACATTATCGTTCCAATTTTTTTAGTTGATTCCAAAACTATAATTTCTTACCTCTTCAGTGATTGGTGAAATTGGGGACATCTTATATAGTGTGTGAATTAGTGTAGAAACTTCTGTGACTGGACTGGAGAATAGGATAGGATAGGATAGGATAGGATAGGGGGAGGAGGGACCTCCATTTCTGGACCTTAGAGATCTTCTAGTCCAACCCTGTGCTCAGGCAGGAAACCCTATACCATTTTAGACAAATGGTTGCCCAATCACTTCTTAAAAACTTCCAGTGTTGGAGCATTCACAACTTCTGGAGGCTATTTCAAATGATTGTTTTAACAATTTAGTTGCTTGTTAAGGAGAATCTAGTTGCATGGTTCATTCAACTCAGAATCACTTGGCTGAGATGGGCAGTTATAGAAAATGAGTAAATAAATCATCAGTCAATTGTGGATGGACATCTAAGTATACAGTATATACTATACATGCATAGGAATTAGTTGTTGAAGTTAGTTATTAGCAGCAAACAAGTTTTTTTTTTATTTTACAAAATAGCAACCTACACTTAGTATGTCAAGTATGCAATTTTAATTGCAATGGAATATTAATTGGGTTATATTTAAATACATGTATTTTACTCTGTATTTTTATATAGCCATTACACTCTAGGCAATTAAAAGTTTTAATTGTTTTGATATATCCCATCTTCTTTGAAATAGCATGCAAACTTACAATCTTAAATAATAGCCTTTTTCTCATATTAGATAATAGGAAAAGATTAAAATCATTGAGGGTCAGTAAGGAGGCAAATTTTGATAGGGATAAGACTTCAAAATACCACACAGTTTTGTATTGTGTTAACATTTTCTTAGATGTCAAGACAATGTAGAATTCTTCAGTTATTTCCAGGACTCCGTGGAGGAGTGTGCTTATCTCAGTTTTGATTAATATTTTTTCTAATCTGTTTGCCTTTATAGTGTGGAATTATCGCAAGAGAAAACAAAGCCTGAAATTCAGTCACAGGATATAATTACTGTTAGGGAGACTCCAGAAGGAACAGGCAGGTTAAACAGAGAGAGAATCCTGCCCCAGTTAAAGAAGACACATGGAGCTGACTTCACCAATTCAGCATGTTTACCTTCTGAAATTTCAAGTCATAGCAGGAACAGGGAGAAAGATTCTCAGCAACTCAATTTGATTAAAAATTACTTTCAGCCCACTGTTAAAAAAAGGTACATTAATTCTTTTTTTCTGAATTGAGTCTTAAAGGTTAAAAAAAAAAGTTCCCTTAAGCTTTATTTTTATGTTAGCGAACATAGTTTCTAACATCTTACAGGGAATTGTTATTTGATATTTATTCCAATAATGGTTATTACAGGGTGATTGAGCTTGGTAGAATTTAGAATTGGTCTTGCTTATGAAACAGGATTAAATGTAAACACCTTCTTGTTGAAATATCCATAGGCCTTCTAACTTTACCCGTCCAACTGTCTATTGTTGACTAGAAAGGTATTTCAAAGTAAAGCCAACTCTCAGTCTCTTTCTTCTATTTTAAGAGAAAGGAATGAGGAATTAGAAACACCATTATCAAAACATGCAAAGATGAATAAGAAGTCATCACAGGTTTCCCATCAAACACTATCTGTACCTTTTTTGCTACGGGAAAATAATGTGGATTCTCAAAAAGGACAGTGTGCAGCAACACAAGGAGTAAGTGACTCAAACATGGTCTCAAGAAAAACTTTAATATTGGAAAATAACAAGTTAAAGCAAATAGGAATGGAAACTATCCCTGATGAAACACCTGCATCAAAAAAGAGAAAGAAAATAGAGGACCCTGTGGAAGATGAAGCTTCTTTAGAACTTGTATTTGCAAGCCAAGAGTTGTACCCAGAAGAGAATATAGGAGATCAGGATGAGAAAAACTCTCAGAATGCAAAGAAGAAAGTGAAACTGGATCTTACAGAAACCACTGTAAGAAACAAAGAAACAAAAATAGAATCTACTAAATTTTGGGTAAGACCTGCTTTTCCTCATGAGATCTATTCACATATTAGGTCCTTCAAATTGCAGACATTTTACTATATTAATCAGTTAGCATTTAAATAATTTCCTTTCATATATCTATTCTTGCATGTAATACCTTAATTTTGTTCCACAATGTAAATGTAACTAGCAAGTACATATTTACATTCCAGAAAAGCACACAAATGCACATACACAAAATATCACATTTGGTAATTGCCGAATAAATCTAAGCATCTTAAATTACAGTAGTACAGTCACGTGCAATATTTCAAATATTTTTTTCTTGCATTCATGAGCTTAAGTGTCAGCTAATTTATGATTTTCTATCTTAAAATGGTTCTGGACTTTTTAACAAAATAATTGACTATTTAAAATAGGAAGGGTTCTTTTTATTTTTCAATAGAATAGTTCAAGATTCTGGAACCTCATGAGATTAGTGATGGTCAAAATACGGGCAGTTTTAGAAGGGTGCATTTAGAATTGAGAATGCATTCATGGACTATACTAATGGCATCAATGGTTGCACTTGAATTGTTTCTACTACTGGGATCAGTGAATTCTGGGCTAGTAAAGGGAGGACGCTGTTGCACTCTTAAGTCTTCTAGTGGGTTTAATGAAAGCAAATGCCTGGTTATTAAAAGAAAAGATTGGGGATATATCTGCCAGGCCTGAATAAGCATGACTGTATTCACGTTAATGATATAGTTGCAACTGCAGCAACTTTAAGTCAAGTTGCTAATGAATGAAAGCTAACTTTTTTATATTCTTTAAAAATCCAAAAGTACCTTGTCTGTAAAATGAAGAAGAGCTCCAGAAAGGGAGGAGGGAAAATGATAGTTATACTGAGTTACATGAAAGGAATCCTTTTGGGAGTATAGAGTGATGACTTACACATTAGAGAAGAGCTGGGGAACCCTAGGTTAAGTTATATCTATTGTTGGTTGTACAAAGTCACTGCTTTTAGCCAGTTGTTTTAGCTCAACCTACCCCTAGGATTAGGTGTGGACAAAATGGAGGAGAGAGTACTATTCATACCTGCTGTGAGCTTTTGATGGAAAGGTGAGTTATAAACCTGATAACCCTAGGCCTAACACAGATTTTGTACAAACATATACAAATAGTCCTCGACTTACAACAGTTTGTTTAGTGATTGTTTAAAGTTACAACGGCACTGAAAAAAGTGACTTATGACCATTTTTCACTCTTATGACCATTGCAGCCTCCCTGTCGCCAAGTAACATTTGTTACTTGACGATTGACTCACATTTATGACAGTTGCAGTGTCCCAGGGTCTTGTGATCCTCTTTGTGACCTTCTGATAAGCAAAGTCAGTGGGGAAGCCAGGTTCACTTAACAACCATGTGACTAATTTAACAATGGCAGTGGATTCACTTAACAACAAGAAGAAAAGTTGTCAAATGAGGCAAAACTCACTTAACAAATTTCTCACTTAGCAATATAAATTCTGGGCTCAGTTGTGTTCGTAAGTCAAGGGTCACCTGTACAAATATATCTTTTTGTTAAACAGGAAAAAAATGAGGAATCCCTTCCAGCAGAAAGCCAGAAAGAAGAAATCAAAGAGGAACCACCAAAACCTGTAAGAAGTGACTCAGATCTAAGGGATATTTTCATGTTTATTTCAAACTACTTCACAGGGTTATTGTGAAAATAAAATGGCACAGCTGTGTGTATTTGGAGGAAGGTGGGATGTAAATACAAGAAATAATTTAGTAAAAGGTGAATATAGAAGGAACAAATATTTTAAAATTAAAAAAATGCTTAAAATGTTAAGCAAATCTTTTTAAATAACTATTTCTTATCCAAAACAATATTGGCGGTAGCATTAAGAAAATATGTCATGTGCCTTCTGCCTCTTTTCCTCTTTCTTGCTATTAATTGAGAGCAAACCCCAATCCTTACTAGCATTGATGATGTTTCCTAGTTTGGGAATGAAATATCTGCAAGAAAACAACCTAACTTAGAGAACATCCAAAAAAAACCCCCACTTCATTTCAACCCTGAGCTACAAATATTCTCCTTTTTTTTGGTTCTTGCTATTATTTGTCAGGAGGTCAAACAGTAATTATTCCATTTGAGAATTAGGAGTATAAAAGGAGATCCATTTTGTTTTATTTTTCATAGGGACTGTTGGGAGATTTAAAAAGAGAATGTCTGTTAGAAAAAAAGCTTGAGATTATTAGATCAGAGGTGAAAGGATGCATGTAGTTTCCCAAATCAGAAAGAGTCCCTAACTTGTACCAACTTTGATGGTTGCTTCTGTTATTGCATCTAAAATATGTAATATTTTTTATCTTCCCAATTGTCCAAAAGATCAAGAATTGTCAGTGTCTGTCACATAATGCTGATTTTTTTAAGGGAACCTCCCCTAACAACTAGCACATGATTCTTGTATGAGTTCACATTGTTTGAATTTTTTAAGATAAAATGGGTTTAATTATAAAATTTGGGGAAATATTGACTTGGGATATAATCCCTAGAGTAGGGGGAGGGAATATTTCTGGTAATCTCATTAATGATAGAAAAGTTGGATTAGTGCCTTTACTAATTGTTCTTCCTTTCTCTCCCTAAATAGAATCCAGGTAAATGTGGAAATGATTCAAGTTATCTCCCTAGTAAAGTTTTGCTAATGGAATTTAAATCATTGGTTGTTACCCAACCAAAGAAAATCCTTCCTCCAGCAAATTCAGACTACGGGCATCTAAACAACTTTAAAAAATTTAAAAAGGTTTGTATACTGTAACAAAGGAACCTTGTTCAGAATATTAAATTTCAAGAATGTTTGTTTAACTCTGTTTTATTCCTCTCTTGTTTTTGCATATGTACAGTTATTAACTTTTATAAAGTATTTGCCTCCTTTTGAATTTTCTGAATGTTTGCATATGCAAAAGAGTTTTAAGAGGTTGCTGTGCATACTGCTGATATAGACAGGAGCTTTAGTGAACAAACAACATCAAAAATTGGTGTTTGTTTCTTTTATTTCATAAACATAACAATCCAACAAGATCATTAGAAAATCAAGGCTGAAATGATTCAAGATGGAGCTATATTGATCCCACAAACATTTGTTTTCTTCATCACAGTCAAGTTCTCTCACCATAACAATTGTAGAGGCTTCAGGCAAAAGAAATTTCAGGAGTTTTCTTTTTTAAAAGAAGCATTGTATTGCCTACAGTGCAGAATAATCTTTTGGACTCACCTGATGTATTGCCAGAGACACAGTCTTGGGATGAAGAAAATTTGAAACAATAATAAATCTTCATAGATGGTTTTGTCCAAATTTCTCCAAGGGCACAGCATAAAGTCATCCTGGAAGTCATTAAAAAAAAAATCCTGTAGAAATTTTCTGGTCATTGTTGCCTTGACTAAAATCTGTAATGTTACCACCAAAAGAAAATTACAGGTAAAAATGGGATTCGCAGAAGATTATTAGGGTGGAAACCTCTGTTCACTAAGAAAATTACCGAAGAGCATTTTGGCAGCTATCAGGATGAATGGATAATTTGTTTAAAAAGTGTAACTTTTGATTAATGTTATTATATCTGGCAGAAACCAAGCACTGCCTACTAAAACAAGAACCTAATATAAGTAGTCCTTGACTTAAAACCATTCATTTAGCAGCTGTTCAAAGTTACCACACCACTGAAAATATTGATTTATGATCATTTTTCATGACTGTTACAGCATCCCCAAGGTCATGTGATCAAAATTGCAATGTCCCAGAGTCATGTGATTAACTTTTGCAACCTACTGACAAGCAAAGTCAATGGGGAAGCCAGATTCACTGAACAACCATGATACTAATTTAGCAGCTGCAGTTGATTCACTTAATGACTGTGGCAAGATCGGTTGTAAAATGGAACAACATTCACTTAACAATTATCTTGCTTAGCAACAGAAATTTTGGGCTCAGTTGTGGTTGTTAAATCAAGGATTACCTGTACCATTTATTACTCTTGGAAGGTTTTTTTCTGATGCAGGAAGTGTTTGTGATATGTGGGAATCCTGGCTTAGAAAACTCCTGACTCAGAACCTGGATGATTTACCATAACAAAAGAAAGCTTTGTCTCAGAATTTTACTAGAGAGTATTGGCCTATCTGAAGCTGAAATATAAGTGAGTAATTCAGCAAGACAATGATCCCAAACTTCCAGGCAAGTCTACAAGTGTTTTGAAAGTTAAGTCCAGGCCTAAATCTCATAGAAATTTGTGGTAGGACCAGGAGTTGAGCAATTTGTATTAGAAAATCTTGAAATATTATTGCTTGAAACGATTCAGCATGGAGTAATGGTCCCAAATTCATACATGAGGGCTGGTGGGGTGATTAATTTTTAATCCTGGCATATGTTGTATTGAATTACTTTGTTTAAGAAATAAATGAAGCAAGGTCCAAATTTGCATTTATTTTCTTCTGCTTTGCAACCATTGGCAGTAATTAATATGATATGCTGATATGCTTTTTTATTCCTGGACAGATTCCTTATCCTGGGGTAGGGAGGCTCCCAAATATTATTGGAGGATCAGATCTGATTGCTCATCATGCTAGAAGAAACCCTGACATGGAAAATTGGTTGAGACAAGAAATGGAGGTAGGAAACACAAACATTTTTTTTAATCTAATATAAACACCACTGACATTGTTAGTGCTTAAAATGTTTTGCAAAAAAGGTTGTTTAGCTTTATAAATGGATATGACTTTGTAGCATGTCTGTATAGAATATTGATTTCTTACTTTGAGTTTTTCACCTTCTGTATTATAGAGAACTTACAAGCCCTAGGCTCTGTGACTCAGTGAGACTTAAAACAAAGCTCTAATAAAGGATCACTTTTTAAAATTATTGATACTTTTGTTGAACAGAAATGTTAGGAATATGTATTTTGGTTCAGTGAAGGCTTAGACCAGTGGTGGCTAACCTTTTTGGACTCCTATGCCAAAAATTGTGCATTTGCTGGAGCATACATGCTCACATGCCAGCACCCCAGAAGGCAATGCACCTCCACCTGCGCATGCGCACGCAATACCAACATCGCCGCCACCCCCTTATCTGCACTGCACCTACACCTGATTTTCGGCTGGTTTGAAGCCTTTTTCAGCCTCCCGGAGGCTTGAAAAAAGCCTCTGCAGGCTTTGCAGGACAAAAAATAGGCCTGTTTCATCACTTCCAGTATTACAGGAAGTGATGAAACGGGCCTATTATTTGGTCTGCAAAGCCTGCAGAGGCTTTTTTCAATCCTCCGGGAGGCTGAAAAAGGCCTCAAACCAGCTGAAAGTCAGCTGTGAGGCGCACGCATGCACAGTGAGGTAAATTTGCCTGCGGCTTGCGTGCAGGCACAAATGGCTCTGCATGCTACCTGTGGCATACATGCCATAGGTTCGCCATCATGGGCTTGGCTACAATAAAACTCTATGTTATGTATGTACGTATGTATTTTGTAAGCCAAGAATGTGAATGCCTATAGAGAATTTTGTTTTTATTAAACCCTTATTTTTTCTAAATACAGCAGAACATTGAGTGCAATTATTAGAGTCTTTCATGTACACAACATGCAAGGATGGCATGTTGGCATAGAAGAAGGGGTATTGTGAAAATCAGAGGGAGGTTATATGATGCTTCCCTACGCCCACTCCGTTCCTCAACCTCAAGAAAGGCTTGATATTGCCCACGTTTGCAGTAGGAAGGAAAGATTGTGAACAGAAATAGCCTTGTGTTTGTACAGCATAGGATATTATTTATGAATGTCTCTATTTAAAATTGATATTAAAAATCCTTGCTACTCGTTCTTAAAGAAACATTCATTTTTTTTCTAGGAGCAGAATTGTCAAACAAGAGAAGAATCACTTGCAGATGATCTGTTCCGGTAAGGAACTTATTTTTGATAGTGGAGTCAGTGGCACTTTTCTTTTGAGCAGTTTAGTGAAATGGCACCTGATTCCTGTATTCTGTCATGACAAATAAATAATGATCAGCATTATGTAAGTAAGTTTGCCTATGAAAATAAATACATGAAATGTGTAGCTGTTTCTTCAAACCAATGGTCATGTATGCTTTTAGAAGGAAACTCTTGATTTTTTTCCTGATTGTCCCTTAATTTTCGGTATCCATTTTGTTCTGCATTAAGTGACTTGGGGCTTTAAACCTGAATAACTATTCAAATATCAGAAAAGGAGATGTGTGTGATAAAGATAAAGTCTTATATGTCAGTTGACTGGCCAGCTAGGTGGGATTCCACCCCATTCCAGAATATTAAAACCATCATAATAAATCATTTTTTGTTCTGTTTGGAATTTTACATGTTCCTGGAGAATGTATGGAGACCTGTACTTTGGAAAATTAATGTTAAATTATATTATTATGCTGAAATTATGAAGGATATAATATATGAAAATTGGAATCTCACATGTTAGATTCAGTGGAAAGGAAGACTGTGGTCTTAATGTACCTGTAGGAGAAGGAATGACAGAACCTGGAGGTGGGGTAAAAAGAGGGATCAACTTGGAGTCCATACATAGCCACAAGTGAACTAAGTCCAACCCTCCTTCAGTGCTGTTGACCCTTATCTAACTCTAAGCAGTTAGAGCAGATTAGTCTCGACCATTAGTTGAGAAGACTCTTGTGCAGAGGCTATAACAATACATCAGTTTAATTGAACTTTCATATGTAGACCTGGTATTTTTGTTCTGTGGCGCCTGAGAGCACCCAACGTGATCAGTCTGCATGGTTTCATCATGTTGGTCAAATAAATATTTCAGGAGAAATATTGATAAACTTCCAATGCTTGTTTACTGCCATTGTATTCAAGCTTCTTTTTAATGATCTCAGATTCCTCCAGGCTTCCTGTTGTGACCTGGCGATAACTTTGTAAGATTAGTTAGGCCATACATTTATGGTAGGACTGAAGTCACCCAGAATCCTTCATGGCTTATATAGGAATTTTAATAAGTAACTTGTTCTAATGTAGTCAGATTTCCTAACTGTTACATTACTTTATCTCATTTAATATTTTTGTAGGGTTTCTGGTTACTTTATTGCTTCATAATTGTCTAATCTGTTAGTAAATTTAAAGTTCCATTTATTAAACACAAAATAAGTTTTAAAGGTTTCTTAAGTAATCTGTATTTACATACTTTTTCTTAATTTACAGGTATGAGCCACGAATAAAAAGAAGATAATTGTACCTCTAATTGCTTGCTAGTAATAAACTGTAGTATCCAAGAGTTACTTTATAATCTATCACATCTGCTGAAAATGCGACTATCAGAAACAGAACTTGTGGATCCAAAACTAGCCAATTTTCTCGTAGCCTTTGAAATATTAACGTAAAGGAAAATATTCAACATCTAGTCTGAGCAGGAGAGGAATTTTAAGCTTCCTGCATTTGCATAATTTTCAAGCCTCTTCCAACCTTGTTACTATTTACTGAAATTCTCCCACCTACGTTTGTGCTGCAGGTCGGGTACAAGGAATTGTGGGAAATGTGGTTTTCCCAGCCTAGAAAACCCATTGAGTAGCACTGAGAATCTTGCTTTCCATATTTCCATTAAATACACAGTTGTAGCATGTGATGAAAACGAGTGGATGAGGGAGTATCCAGACAGTTGTTCTTGGAGTAGCTAGAAGATTTAGCGAGAGAGGCACAGAAAGAGGCAGGTGATTCTGAAAGTTGCCATGCACCTGTAGGATCATGGGAGCAAGATATTGTGCTGATATTAGAGATTTTGTCTGAACAATCTTGGAACCAATCTTGAAAACACCAAGCTTTTAATAGCATTCCAACATAGGAAAGTTGTGGTTTTGGAGTTTTTGCTGACCAGGAGTTTGTTCATTGTCAGATACTGAACTTAATACGTTTTATGTCTTTAGAATTCCATTTCAAGCCATGCTTTAAGAACTTTCTATGAAAGCCTTCGTTTTTATAAAAAAGAAATGGAGGTACCACATTTTTAAAAGGTAACTTTGAAGTTTGTGTTTAATTTATGCATTGCAGCAGTTTCTATTTATAAAAGATGGCCCTTTTAATAAGTCACACTTATGAAACATAAGTGTAAATCAGATGTTACAGACTACTCCCTGTAATATTTAACTCTCTTAACCAGTTCTAAGAAAAAGATCCTGATCAGGGAATTAGAAGTAGGATGTGCTTCAAATTCCTTTCACAATGGATTTTCGGGGAGTTTCTGCCTCCTCAAATATGCTATAAAAAGGTCTTTTTTTAGTATCATATTTTAAATTTAGGAATTTTCACTGTCAATTTGAATCACTCCAGTATAGATTTGCACTACATATTATGCTGGATAAATGAATATTTTGTTGGTTTAGCTGAGTTATTTTCAATTGGAGAATCATACTACAAAGCAGCCATTTGTATAAACTAACCAATAAATGTTTTCTGTGAGGAAATGTGCCTTTTTCCTAAAGTGTCCTGTTTATATTGTTTTCTAATCTGAAGAAGGAAAAGAAATAATTTTCAGATGTTGATGACTTCGCCTTAACATATACCATCTTCTAAATAGTAAAAATGAATAAATGCTAAAGCAAAGATTGAGAAAGCCTCCATTGCTTTTAGTGCAATAATTGTTTGATTTGCAGAAAATTTAGCAACATGGTAAGGGTAGAACCAAACATTGAATGATTATATGTTATTTTAAACAGCACCATCCTGAAGAAGTATACTGAGCAAAATATTAATCAATTTCCCATGAGGATATGAAAACCTTTCCTAAGCTGGTAGTAATAATTCAATTGATTTTCAAAGCATTTCTCTTTCATCATTCTCATTTATCCATTACATTTATCCAATCTGTGCAGTAACTCAACATTATTTAACATGTGTTGAGAATATAATTGTCTAAAACCTAGATATAGAAACCATGGACTTTTGAAACTGCTGGATATGTATTGTTTTATTTCTAGAGAATCACATTTTTGCCTATCCCCACCCCCCAAGTCCCTCTTTATTCCTTTAAAATAACTGAGAAAGAGAGTGCTATTTTATCCTGATACCCTGTGCTTGAGTCTGATAATAAACTTCAAGTAAAAGAAACCCCATTGCAAAAAAGTAAGGGCTGAAGCAGCTGTAAAGCAAATAGACAGTTTGGAAACTATTCAAAGAGAAGGCAAGTCCCAAATTGCTGTTTTCTTAAGGAAGTGATGGAGTTGACCCTATTTGGTCTTCTGCTAGCTGCAACTTGTGGAGATGAAAATGGATTGACTCTTCTGAGAGAGGCTAGGTCTGTTGAGTCAGCTTTCGAGCAGAATTAATAGTCCTCTTGCTATAAAAGATTGATGCAATAGTTTGCTCAATATCAAGTATTATTTTCTAATAGCTTTCCTTTCAAACACGATCTTTTTTTTTTACAGCTATTTTTATTTTTAATTTATCCTGACCATAACTTAGCCTGAGTAAATGCTGGTGAAATTTTAATGATAATTTTTTTAGGGGAGGAGAGGAAAGGAACACTGAGAATATTACAATTTCCGGGTTTTGGCATATAGACAACAGAAGTTGAACTGTGTGATTATTAATGTAATTCTCAGATCAAAGTTATAAGCAAACAAGAAAATGGAAAAGTATTATTTTCTAGTGAAAAGCAAAGTTTTTAAAATCTAGTTTTCTGTTGATTTCTTTTTATTGGAATTATTCATAAGACACATGGAGGTAAGATTTATGGCAGGGGTCCCCAAACTTGGCAACTTTAAGACTTTAAGCGATGCTGGCTGAAGAATTCTGGGAGTTGAAGTCCACAAGTCTTAAAGTTGCCAAGTTTGGAGGCCTGATTTATGGTTTCTTGGCTGCTTTCACACAGCACAGTATGCTACAAACAAATAAAATTGCCTTAATGTGTTGTGAGATTGTTATACCCTCCTTTTAGCAAAAATTAACTAGTGAGACAAATCCATACAATTTCTAGCCTGTGTATCCTTTCAAAATATTTCTGTCTCCAGGAATCAACATATAGACTCTTTTTATTTAAACTTTTGAGGAGAAGGAAAGCTCAGCTTCCATTGTGGACAGATCATTTAGGTTCTTGACAGTTCTGACCCTAACAGGAAGAAGAGCTTGTTTTCACATAACTCCAGTGAACCAGAACATCTAAAATTACTACCTGCTTTTTACTTTCTGAAACTATTAGAATCCTTAAATATCATTCTCATTCCAAAATATAGGCAGGACTTAGGCAAAATATAAGTTAGATTTAATGACATTTCTTGTCTTTCCAGATACTTTTGGTACAGTATCAAAATTTAAAACCTCAGCATCAGAGGAATTGTATCCACCAATAAAAGAATGGAGTTATTCACAGCTCAGGAAGTTAAATTTTGGAAATAGCTTACTGGTTCCCAAATGCCCTTATTAATCCAACCCAACTTCTGCCATGTTGGAATGTCCTATTAACTTAGTCTGAAACTTCACATTCCTTATTCTCTGAGCGAGCAGTTGTTTGGCTTGGTCATATCCTAAAGAAATTAGGAATCGTATAGAAAGCCTTATAACACCAAAGTCTGCTCTTCAGCTTTTTTCAGGAAGAAGAAAAATTGTCTGTTAAAATTTGAGGGGTCAATCCAACTGAAAAGAACTGGATTTTCAAGCAGTGCCTTATCATCCTCCAAGCCCTCCTAACCTGGATTGCATTTTGGTGCTCCGCTGTCTTGCACAAAAATACACTCCTCCCTCTTCACGGCCTTTCTGGATTTTAACATGCCTTTGACTCTCCTTGAAGATGGTGTGTTTCTCATCCAAGAAGCTTCTTCAGGTCTTCTTTGGGACAACCATGACCTGGATGACTGAGAGTCTCCAGAGATGCTTTTGACTCAATTTCCAGGAATGCCCTTTGTAGAAAAATTAGAAGCCATAACTTTTGACAGGCACCCCCCCCCCTTTCTGATACAGAAATTGTTTTCCATCATCACCTTAACAACAAGGTGCAATATCTAAGTGTCCTCTAGCACAATAAGTGTTCAGAAAGGAGTGTGCAAGATTTGCATCTCAGTTCAGTGGTGGACTTTCTTCATAATCCAGATTTCCATGCATCTAAACCATCAGAGTACAAAACCACTATACTACTTTTTTTACTGATCATAAACTCATAGTGCTAAAAAGAGCAATGAGAGCATTATTTTGGTATTGGAGACAAAGTTGCCCGCTTCTGAATTTTGAAAAGTCTAAAATTAAAAATAGCCATCCAACTATTTTGGAGAATGGAACAAATTCTAAATTTGAATATCTTAGGGTATTTTTCCACTCTAAAGACACTTGGAACCTGCATGAGAACCACATAGTGAAGTTAGCATTTAAGTCTAGAGATGCTATTAAACACTTTTTTTACACAAGTGGAGAACAATTAATCTCTGCAGCATTAAAACTTTTTAAGGCCAAACCATTGGCCCAAATCCCTTATTGTGTACAAATAGAAATTTATGCAAAGAAGAATGAAGTAGAAGCAGTGCCAACAAAATTTTTGAAATCAACGCTCCCTGCTCCCAATGGAACAACAAACACACAGTAAAGGCACAAGATGGGAAAGCCTGCAATCCAGGTAAAGGAGAAGGAGGATAAACTACTAGCAGATTAAATTTGCAAGAATCTGTAAAATGCCCCATAATATTGTATGAATGCCATGTAAAGTTGTATATAATTGAAGAAAAAATGCATATCACGCCTTACCTGATAACATTTGCAGCTGAAAAGCCACAAATGAGTTTCTTAGTCAAGCCGAATGAGATGTGAATATATATTTTGCCTGCTTAGTAGAAACCAGAAAACAAAGTTGTGGTTTTGGATTGTTGGCAGTCTCTCACATTTAACCCAGTGGTGGGATTCAAGTTTTTTTACTACCAGTTCTGTGGGTGTGGTTTGGTGGGCATGGCAGGGGAAGGAGACTAAAATCTCGTCAGAGGCGGGATCTGCCGGTTCTCCGAACTACTCAAAATTTCCACTACCAGTTCCTCAGAACTGGTCAGATCCTGCTGAATACCATCTCTGATTTAAACCCTCTTCTGAGCTAATCAAAGTGCAAACATATTCTGACAGGCAGAGCCTGAATATGTAATCATGTCTACATTTAAAGCAACCCCTTACAACTAAGCTTACCATGATGTGTGAACCCTCATTTGCGTGTAATGTTGCTATTACATTGTGGTTGGCATACCCAATGTGCATTTATGTTTAGGTAGAGTAGGACTTTATGAAGTTACAAAGAGAGATGAACTTTATATGGAGGAAGGGGAGAGAGAACATCTAATTATTGTGGTCAATTGTTTTGCAATACTTTAAGAAACTTAAACAGCCAACTCACATGACTTTCATCAACCTTCTACAAAGGAAGTTTTCAGTCTTGAATCTGAGTATGACTTAAACCTTTCTTAAACCATAACTGAAATTCACTATGCTATTATTGAATATTCAATACGAATCTAAAGAAGTTGAAGAAATATTGAAACTAGACTTGTTTTCCACTTACTGAAACTTGGGCCAAGAATTTATGCAGTGATTTAACATAAATGAACATTAAATTGATTTTTTTTAAAAAAAGCCATTAATTGCATAGAGTATTTTTGGAAAGATATGGAATTTCAAAGTAATGTTCTTTATTCTAATTGCTGTTAACTCCTTAGAGGCAAGCCTGATACATTAATTTAAATTACAATAATAAAACTGTGTGTCTAGAGACTCAAGTATACCTGAAGGAAAAAATGACATCATTAAACTGCACAGACCTAAGAACAGTAGAAAGATTAGCTACTTTCCTATAGCAGCAATTATGTTACCCATATATTTCTTTCAACATAATTACTTAAAATAATCTAATTTAGAGCATGATGCATTTGAACACTAGTGTCCAATTTGCTTGAAAATAGCATTTTTCAAAGTTATCAACAAAAACGTCTTACCAAGGCAGATATTCCAAAACTCCATTAACTGAGCAAACCTACCCGTGACCATGTGACAAGGGATCAAAATAATTTCACATGCATTGTTATAAATTCTACAGGAAAATCAGATCTGCTTATATTCTGCTTCTGGTACATAAATTTCCAGGAAGGCCAGACAATTTCTAAATCACTTGTTCAGTAGATATGCTAGCTGTTTTAGGTGTGTGTGTATACACATACACTTCATGGATTGTAGTATCTTAGATTCAACACACGCACATGCAATCAATACACCATTGTAGTAACGTACAGTATGTTACGTATTTATCTGTTTTATCTTTGCTATACTAGTATTTTATCAAATTTGGCTAGTCATTTACCAAATAAACAGCATTGCTTTCTTTGATTTGCTAGTATATATGATTGTGAGAGGGGGGTTTATATATCTTTCAGATTCATGTAACTGGCTCTCTCGATAATGTGACCATGCAGTATACAACAAAACAATTATATCAAGCCTTAAATAATCATTAAAAAAAATAAACCAATAAAAAATAATTGAATGTAAATACCATATAAAAAAGATCATTGGAGAATGCTCCAAAATCTCACACAATACAGCCATTTCGCAGCTTCCGTTTCCATGGGATCCCTAAACCTATCATAAATATAGCACCTAATATTGCAGTATATGATTTTGATACCTTGGCTCTAAGTTTCCAGTTAACAATATGACTTCCAATAGTACCAAACCTATGGGGAAAAAAGCCACAAATACTGTGGTTCTTTTTCTGATTTTACTGGAAGAAAATCATAAATTTTCTGCATTAATCTTAATGTTATTATAAGAGTATTAAGAAATAAACTTAGATCCCTTGCATGGCTAGTTTTTAATTTTTCCATATCCTTGAATTCTATTCTGGCTTTTCCAGTATACCAAGTTGGCATAGTCTGTAAATACAAAAAATAATTTGAACTCCCCCACCCTTTATCTAGGGATAATACTAGATTAATTGATAACCTCAAGGTAAGTGAATTGGAAATTAATTCCAATGCTTTCCATTAAATACCAGATTTGCTTCTGCTGATCCCAAGCTTTTTTGTACTAAGTTGAGGACAGTACACTAAAAGGCATGAAATAGATGTCTTAAGTACCTGCAAGGATTAAGACACGCACACAAATAAATAAATAAATAAATAAATAAATAAATATAGGACCAAAAAATCTTATCCCCCCCATCTTGGGCATGGGGGGATTAGCATTAAAAGGATATTTCCCTTATATGTCAAATTGCATGAAAACATTGAAAAAAGAGTTTTGGCATGCAAGCGCTTCTGAGTTAAGTGCTATTCTGGTTTATGATCATTTCATAATAATCCAATAACAACCATTAATTTAGGGAGGTCCTTCATAATGAAAATACCAAAAATACCAAAAATAGTATTCCAACAAAGCAACCCAACCACATTCAAATTCATTTGTTGCTTCCAACCAAATTGATTTTCTATTATATTGAAAGGTTGTCCATTAAAATATTTAGAAAAGTTAATAATTAAAAAACTGCAAGAATGTAGTGATTTAGAGTCAAATTTGGACAGGTAGTATTCTTTAAGTCTTTGTAGGAATTGGGTTGCTAAAAATTAGTTTGTTACCCTGATTTGCTATGTAAATGATACAGACTTAAAAAGTCAACAACTGATTTGAAGGGGCCCTCTTTAAAAATATTAAAATAGTTTAACAAATCTAGACACAGTGTCTTTATTGGGTGTTTTAAAATGAATTTAACTTGTCCGTCTCCAACACTGAGGCTATTAAATCTGAGTTTACAACAGTTCTGATTCAAATTGACAGAGACAAAGTGTAAAAGACAGAGGATGAGTTTTAAAAAAGTTTATGTAAGAGAGAGAAAAGACAAATATTTTGAATGCCATGCTTTTATTTAAAATTATTGGCAACCCTGAACTTTATCCCTACAATGAAAAATAGGCAGTCTTTAAATATTGGACATTCATTTAATCCTACACGCAATTTAATTCAGAATTACTGTTACATACTCCATAATATACACAAGGATAAAGTCAATTAAAAGTAAATGCCTTTTATTCTTGCTAATTTTTATATTTAAATATAATTGGTTACCAATTCCAGTTCCACATATTTTATATATTAGCATAAATTACATTTCATTTTTCCTCTTTATCTTATCAAATAGTAAAAATACCCCAGGTTTAAATGGGCAGGAGCATAACTGACAAAAAAATTGGAGATTAGGAAACTAATTTGCTACACATGCATTTTGATGTCTATAGGGATTGCTGCCAATGAACATAATCAAAGTTTAGGAGTCTAAAAAATAAAACATTCATAATTTATAAAAAATGAAATACAAATAGAACCACTGGTTACCCTTGTGGTTTCTATAGCAATAATTCCCATAATTAACAGGCTATTTTGCCTGTTAGATATATTGTGGATGTATTATAATGGAAACTACATTAAATATGGGCAAATTCTCCCATCTCCACATGCTTTTCTAGAACATGACTTCTGTGTAAATGTCAGATTTAGCTGGATTGTACTGCATGTTTTAGATTAATGATTGGTGCCTTCATCAGACTCAAGCCCTAAATCTGATTTAGATGTAAGAGATTAGGCACATCTCAAATTTGTAGCTCATTTGAGATTCAGAATATGCAACATTCTCAGGTTGCCTTTATAAAAAACTTTGCTGCAAGTAACTGGCTGAAAATTTGCCTTAATCTGTGTTAAGGAGAAAATTCTATTCTTGAATACTCATCTAGTTTTGTATAGCAAAACAATTAGCTTATGAGTAAAAACTTTTTATTGTATATATCTTTCTAAGCTTTGAAACCAAAGCAAATTAGCATGCATTGTTATCCATTACAGAAAAACTGCCAATTTTTTTTTTGCATTTTGCAAGGCTGCAATACTGTTGTAGCATCTTCCTCTATGAGGCAATGCAAGCACAAAAAACTGGTATGTATAACAAAACCAAGACTAATCACTTAGTTATTAATGGTCAGATCAGTTATTACCATGTCTGCAGATCCTCAGGTTATGTCTTTGTCTATTTGCTTTAGGGGACTCCATCTGCACCTCTTTCAACTATAAATTGATGTTTCTTCTGTTTTGCAACTAAATGCCGTGTAATTCCCAATGCTCCTCCTTTTAAAAAGCGTACAAAATTGTCTCCAACCAATGGACCAAGTGCAAAAAGATTGGGTTCTTTTATACACTCATACGTATATGGATCAATTTCAATAGGGTTGCCCTTGCAAGTAACTGGTTCATTTGGATTATGGCATATGCTCTGGCCTTGATCCTTTAGGAAACATAAGTTAGGATGTGAACCTATTAAGACTACTGCTAAAGAGAATTTTAAGATCTTCTTTAATCCCGAAGAATTCTGTAAGATACACTTCATATCGGGCTGAAAAGAAAGAACTTGGTGTTCAGGTAAACTGGTATAAGCAGGATGCACATTGTAATCCAGAGTAACTGACTGAGTACACATCATATGGTAGACTTTATGATATTCTGGATAAAGTTTTTTTGGTAGCTGTTTGAAAATTAAACTTGGGTCAGTGACCCTCCTACGGAATGCATGAATAACAGGCACACTGTTATTATAAGCGTATAGAACTGCATCTGCTGCTGTGAGTCCACCACCTATAATTAAAACTGGATCTGTTTTCCCATGCAATATTCCTTTATCTATGGCAGCTCCAAAATCAGATATGGTATGGAGCACAAAAGGAAAGTCTTCTCCTTCAACTTGCAATCGGCCAGGAGCATCAAAAGTTCCAGTGGCAAGAGCCACATTTTCAGCAAACAAACAGAACGGCATATGAGAGCCATCTGCTGATCTCTGATAACCTCTAATTTCCCAGTTTCTTTTGATCAGTGTAGTCTGCCCATCTTCTTCTATCTGCAAAGGGCTTTCGCTTTCACAATCCTGATCACGATAAAACTTTGACACAGATGTTATATATGCATTTTCTCTGAAGTTTTTCTGTAAGCCCATGATTTTAACATAGTGCTTGTAATAATTTGCAACTTCCTCTGGCAGAACTCTGTCACACTTCATATTTCTGAAAGAAGATCAGATCAGAAAATTATTTACTTTTAATTGATATATTTGAAGCATACAATCACAACAGAAACACTTCTCAACTCTAAATATGATTGTACTATTCCTTTAAAAAAAAAGAGGGGGGGAATTGTTTTATTTTAAGTACATTTATTTTTTACTATCTTAAAATTTTCCACTAGGTGGAAACCTACAATATAATCTCTACATCCAAGCATCAGTTCTTTCTTTCTACAACAATCAGTATAAAAATGTTACCAAGCTCACCTTCGTTTAGTAGCAGCCCAATCTTTAAATGCATATCCAGGTAATTCCATCCAGTTTCCGAAACTGATAGTGAGCATAGAACTTTCCATAGACTATGGGAAAATAAAATAATCTTTATCCAAAATATAATATTGCCTTTCTATAAAAATAGCATTACATTTTGAAGATTAATTTTAAAAAACACTGAAATATATTATGTACCAAGACCAATTAATTTATTATATTATTTGTTTGGTAGATTTCCACAGTGACTCTTACTGAAAGCGTACTAATTGAGTCAAATAACAAAAATTAGGATTAGGATAAAAAAAAATAGACAACCTTCCACATTCTAAACCTGTGAAAATGAGAACAGAAAATCTGCTTAACAAACTGCTAAGCGATCAGATTTAATGTTATTTTTATGGATCATTAAAAATATTGGGTTATTCATGGAATGCTGGGAGCACAATGGTTAGAACAATCTGCCAACCCACGTTTGGGACCTGAGTGCTGTTATGTGGCAGGGTGAACTCCCATAATTTGCGCCATCTCCTGCTGATCTAGCAGTTTGAAAGTGTGCAAACATGAGTAGATAAATAGCTACCACTTTGGTGGGCTCATTAATGGGGACATGAAAGAAGCCTCCAATGGATGTCTCCTGGGCAACAGTGATGTCACCGGTTAATCCTTTCAACCCAGAAGTGTCTCAGGGCTTCCAACATGAATACGATGATAGGATGCTATATATGATAGAACTCAAAAAATATAAATGAGCATTTGCTATAGAAGCCACAACCAATCAGAAGTTTTATATGGTAAGTGCACTTAGCTGTTAAGGAAGTTAAAAGTTCTTCTTACATGCCAAGCACCACCAGGTGGTCCTTTGCCAAGTACTATATGAGGAATATATTGATGTGGTTCAAATTTCCATTGAAGAACCGGTGGGTACTTAAATCCAAAATCAGCTTCAGGATGAAGCAAAGTATCAAACAGAATTGCAACGGGATTTGAAGAGCGTCCTTCCAGGCCTTCAGCCAAGTACTCTAATTCCTGATTTGAAAAAATAAGATTTAAATGGTCATTCAACTTTTCCTCAGAGTACAACATAATAGGTAGTGAAAAAACCCTTTTGCTTTCCTTACACATCAGTTATATGCATCTTCTTACAAATTCTTTGAACCTACAATTTATTTCCTGCCTGCAAATTTTTATCAAGACTGATTTATCCTTTGTTTTTAATTAACTTGGAAGGGTTTTTTGGGGGGTGGGGAGGAGAGAATAACCCCAGAATATCTAGAGGGCATGACATTGGAAAAGTCTCTCCTAAATGGTATAGAATTGACTAATTTGCATTGGGAGTACATTAGAGTCAAGATTTAGCTGTATATATAGCTAAATATGGAGAATGTTCTATTAAATGTATTATAATTGAACAATTTCTTTTGGAAGCGTTTTTTTTAAGCTTATATCCATTTTAATGACATTGTGATGTCTATGACACACCACAAAATAGTTTGCTGAGTCCTACTATTTAGTTCACATTACATTAATGGGTCACAGGTTTATTAATAGACACTAGTCATGATATCTAAAATGTACCACCTTTTAGAAATAAGTATTTAGGAAGCTTCCAAAAGCCATAGATATACTAGTGTGGTAATACAGCGAAAACCTAGTTTGATCTTTGGGAAATATTTATGTATTTATTGCAAGATACATGTCTGGTATCTTGTATTTCAAGTGTACTTTATGCTAACAGCAATAGTAAGAAAGAATAAAAACTATTAGCAGCTTACAACACAAATAGAACCAATATTTTTGAGGCTGGATATATAATATGCAATTAAATATGACATAAAATTAAATGCATGTTTCATAGTTAAAATACACTGCTCAAAAAAATAAAGGGTACACAAAAATAAGACATCCTAGATCTGAATGAATGAAATATTCTTATTATATACTTTGTTCATTACATAGTTGAATGTGCTGACAACAAAATCACACAAAAATTATCAATGGAAATCAAATTTAGCAACCCATGGAGGTCTGGATTTGGAGTTACATTCAAAATTAAAGTGGAAAAAAACATTACAGGCTGATCCAACTTTGATGTAATGTCCTTAAAACAAGTCAAAATGAGGCTCAGTAGTGTGTGTGGCCTCCACATGCCTGTATGACCTCCCTAAAATGCCTGAGCATGCTTCTGATGAGGTGGCAGATGGTCCCCTGAGGGATCTCCTCCCATACCTGGACTAAAGCATCCCCCAACTCCTGGACAGTCTGTGGTGCAACATGGTGTTGGATGGAGTGAGACATGATGTCCCAGATGTGCTCAATTGGATTCAGGTTTGGGGAATGGGCGGGCCAGTCCATAGCATCAATGCCTTCGTCTTGCAGGAACTGCTGACACACTCCAGCTACATGAGGTCTAGCATTGTCTTGCATTAGGAGGAATCCAGGGCCAACCGCACCAGCATATGATCTCACGAGGGGTCTGAGGATCTCATCTCAGTACCTAATGGCAGTCAGGCTACCTCTGGCGAGCACATGGAGGGCTGTGCAGTCGCCTAAAGAAATGCCACTCCACACCATTACTGACCCACTGCCAAACCAGTCATCCTGGAGGATGTTGCAGGCAGGAGAACGTTCTCCACGGTTTCTCCAGACCCTGTCACTTCTGTCACATGTGCTCAGTGTGAACCTGCTTTCATCTGTGAAGAGCACAGGACACCAGTGGCGAATTTGTCAATCTTGGTGTTCTCTGGCAAATGCCGAACGTCCTGCACGGTGTTGGGCTGTAAGCACAACCCCCACCTGTGGACGTCGGGCCCTCATACCACCCTCATGGAGTCTGTTTCTGACCATTTGAGCAGCCACATCCACATTTGTGCCCCCCGGAGGTCATTTTGCAGGGCTCTGGCAGTGCTCCTCCTGTCCCTCCTTGCACAAAGGCAGAGGTAGCGGTCCTGATGCTGGGTTGTTGCCCTCCTATGGCCTCCTCCACGTCTCCTGATGTACTTGGTCTGTCTCCTGGTAGCGCCTCCATTCTCTGGACACTACACTGGCAGACACAGCAAACCTTGCCACAGCTCGCATTGATGTGCCATCCTGGATGAGCTGCACTATCTTGAGCCACTTGTATGGGTTGTAGCCTCTGTCTCATGCTACCACTAGAGTGAAAGCACCGCCAGCATTCAAAAGTGACCAAACCATCAGCCAGAAAGCATAGGAACTGAGAAGTGGTCTGTGGTCACGACCTGCAGAACCACTCCTTTATTGGGGATGTCTTGCTAACAGCCTATGCTTTCCACCTGTTGTCTATTCCATTTGCACAACAGCCTGTGAAATTGATTGTCAATCAGTGTTGCTACCTAAGTGGACAGTTTTGATTTCACAGAAGTGTGATTGACTTGGAGTTACTGTGTTGTTTAAGTGTTCCCTTTATTTTTTTGAGCAGTGTATATGTTTTTGATTAATAAGCATATAAACATAAGATTAGTGTTTACTGTACCTGATCAACAATAGAAAGATGAATAGCTTCTTTTAACTTATTGTACAAAATAAGATTTGGATGTTCAGCTTCGGGGGATAAATATGGTCTATATCCAGATAACATGTAAGAGAGGCATATTCCGGAAGGTCCATTGCCTGTTTGTTTTTGAAAAAAAAGTAAAAATATATTTATTAAATTAAAAGAAAGTCCATATTACATCAAAATTAAACATTTTTAAATCTACTGATTTAGAAGTAAATGCTTTTCATTTACAATTCCTTCCATAGAAATTTGGATAAAAACCTGGAATTTTCAAAATCTTAGACTTATCACTAGACTGATATTCAACTTTCACATTTTAGACATTGTTTTAATAATTTTTAAGTTATGAAAATATGCAAGTGAAGTGCCATTTTATAACAAATTATGTTTATTATTTTGTACTAAACAATAACTGGAACTAATTAGTAATCCAACTAGATCTCATTTTATAGATGATCTTGAAAAGCTAAGAAAGAGCAGATCAGCTTAATTCAAATCAACAAGAAATACAGAAAGTGTAAAGATTGAAAATTGAAAAATCAAAACAAAGGAGATGTAATGAAAAACAGCTTCCACAAAAATTACATTGTGTCACCAGGAATCAAATTTTATCTGTATTTTATTAGTATTCTAGACAAATGTAATTACTCCTTATCCCTTACGGGTATTTTTTGACTTATGACCGTAATGAAGCCTGCCCATCATGGTCCTAAGTTATGACTGTTGTAAAACAGGGTCATTCATTTGATCCACCCAATTTTACAACTTTTCGATGATTGTTAAGTGAATGTGTTAAGGAAAACAATGGTTCACTATACTGCATTTTTTTCTGAAAAAAAAAAGTAAATGCTGGTTTTCTGCAAAGCTGTCATATGGCCACATGACTAAGGACACTGCAAACAACCATAAATGCTGAGTGCCTGAAGGTCAGTTACATGACCATGGAGGGGAGAGAACTTCGAGTGTGGGTTGAAATTATTACCCAGATAAGTTTGTCATAACTTTGACCAACCACTAAATGTCAAGAGCTACCTATATAACTATACAAAGAGTTATTTCAAACTATTTCAAACTTGTCATTCTGAAGGTATCTTTAAGATGGGTTAACAAACAATTTCAAAAAGTGATTAGAAAGTGAGGCTTATGAATTTAGTATCCTTTAAACAGCTCTACCATGATTACAAGCAAGATGGCTAATCTCCTATTCTTTTGGTGCCTCAGCCCACAGGATATCTCTACCATTATTCTCTTCACAAGAAACAACTATTAATAGCACATGTGGACAATCTCTGTCTTCTCCTTATTCAGAGAGGTTCTGAAGAACCCGTTTACTTACCAGTACTTTGGTCTTTGTCACAATTATCAGCTCTGCTTTCATGGAGATGTCTTCAGTTCACTATACCTTCCCCAGAAGTCCCACCCGGTATCAAGTTTTATGACAGCCTCAACTTCACTAATCAATAATGGTATTTGACATTCCTCAAATTATTGACAATTCAAATAACTTTTGCTTCCATATTAATGGAGATATACTAAATTTTCTTAAGCATCATTTGCAAGAAGGATCTTGGAAGTATTGTTCAGATATACAACTTCTCATGAAAGAAGGCAACTAAAAACAAATACAAAAACCCAAAGAGTTGACCATTACAATCAATTAGTACACGTCCTGTGTCTGACCCATTTCTTTTTAAAAATGTTCTCCTCTCACAGAGTGAAGAGATTGTTTAAATAAGCAATCCCTTCTGTATCTGACCCTTTTTCTCCTCCTCTCCTTGCAGAATGGAGAGATTAGAGAGGAAGAAATCACAAGAGACCAATGAGGCACATAGCTGGCACTAG